TATTTTTCATTTTGCAATTTTCAAGTTTTTGAGTTCTCAATTTTTTTATTCTTCGACTCCGACTTTTCGATTTCTCGATTTTTCAATTTCTCGTTTCGACTTTTCAGTTTGTTTATTTTCCCTTTTTTCAGTTCTTTAATTTTTCAATTTTCAGGTTTTTGAGTTCTCAGTTATGGGATATTTCAATCTTTCTTCGATTTTTTTATTTTCCTATTTTACGATTTCTAGACTCTTCAGTGTTTCGATTTCTGATCTTCTCGATTTTTCAGTTTTTACCTTCTTAAATTTTTCGATTTTTCAGGTTTTTGAATTTTCGATTTTTTGGATTTTAGATTTCCCAAGTTTTCAATTTTTCGATGTCTCAGTTTTGGAATTTCCCAGTGTTTCATTTTTCAGTTTTCCAGTTTTGGGATATCTCAATTTACCAATTTTTCAGTTTTTCTTGGATTTATCAATTTTTCGATTTTTTGATTTTTCCATGTTATTTCGATTTCTCAACTTCCCGATTTTTCAGTTTTTCAGTTCTTTAATTTTTCGATTTCAAATTGTTGAGTTCTCAATTTTTTTATTCTTCGACTTCGACTTTTCGATTTCTGGAATTTTCATTTTTCAATTTCCGTTTCGACTTTTCGATTTTTTGGCTTTCCCAAGTTTCCATTTCCTGACTTCTCGATTTTCCAGTTTTCCAGTTCTTACATTTTTCGATTTTTCAGTTTTTCAGTTTTCAGGTTTTTGAATTCTCGGTTTGGGATATTTCAATTTTCCGATTCTTCAATTTTTCTTCGATTTTTGAATTTTTCGATTTTCAGGTTTTTGAGTTCTCAATTTTTTAATTCTTCGACTTCGGCTTTTCGATTTTTTATTTTCCCATGTTTGGATGTGCCTAGTTCTCGATTTTTCAGTTTTTCATTTCTTCGATTTTTCGATTTTCAGGTTTTTGAGTTCTCAGTTTTGGGAAATTTCTATTTTTCGATTTTTGAGTTTTTCTTCAATTTGTCAATTTTTCGATATTTCAGTTTCCGGATTTTTCCGATATTACGATTTTACAATTTTTCAATTTTTCGAATTTTCGATTTTTCGATGTTTCGGGTTTTCCATTTTTTGATTTTCCCATGTTTCGATTTCTCGACTTCCCGATTTTTCAGTTTTTCAGTTGTTCAATTTTTCGATTTTCAAATTGTTGAGTTCTCAATTTTTTTATCCTTAGACTTCGACTTTTCGATTTTTTGATTTCCCAAGTTTCCATTTCCCGTCTTCTCAATTTTCCAGTTTTCCAGTTCTTAAATTTTTCGATTTTTCGATTTTCAGGTTTTTTAATTCTCGGTTTGAGATATTTCAGTTTTCCGATTCTTCAATTTTTCTTCGATTTTTCAATTTTTCGATTTTCAGGTTTTTGAGTTCTCAGTTTTTGAATTCTTCGACTTCGGCTTTTCGATTTTTTATTTATGTCTAGTTCTCGATTTTCCAGTTTTTCACTTCTTCAATTTTTCGATTTTCAGGTTTTTGAGCTCTCCGTTTTGGAATATTTCAGTTTTTCGATTCTTCAATTTTTCTTCTTTTCGATATTTCAGTTTTGGAACTTTTCGATATTGCTATTCTTCAATTTCCCGATTTTTCGACGTTTCGACTTTTTGATTTTCCCATTGCACGATTTCTAGACTTTTCAATGTTTATTCTTAGACTTCGACTTTTCGATTTTTTGATTTCCCAAGTTTCCATTTCCCGACTTCTCGATTTTCCAGTTTTCTAGTTCTTAAATTTTTCGATTTTTCAGTTTTTCGATTTTTTGATTTTCTCAAGTTTCCATTTCCCGACTTCTCGAATTTCCAGTTTTCCAGTTTTTAAATTTTTCGATTTTTCAGTTTTTGGATTTTCAGGTTTTTGAATTCTCGGTTTTGGGACACTTCAATTTTTCGATTCTTCAATTTTTATTCGATTCTTCAATTTTTCGATTTTTTATTTTCCCATGTTTCGATATGTCTAGTTCTCAATTTTTCAGTTTTTCAATTCTTCAATTTTTCGATTTTCAGGTTTTTGAGGTCTTAGTTTTGGAAAATTTCCATTTTTCGATTTTTGAGTTTTTTTTCGATTTGTCAATTTTTCGACATTTCAGTTTCGGGACTTTTCCGATATAACGATTTTTCAATTTTTCAATTTTTCGAATTTTCGACTTTTCGATGTTTCGGGTTTTCCATTTTTTGATTTTCCCATGTTTCGATTTCTCGACTTCCCAATTTTTCAGTTTTTCAGTTGTTCAATTTTTCGATTTTCAAATTGTTGAGTTCTCAATTTTTTTATCCTTAGACTTCGACTTTTCGATTTTTTGATTTCCCAAGTTTCCATTTCCCGACTTCTCGATTTTTCAGTTTTCCAGTTCTTAAATTTTTCGATTTTTCAGTTTTTGGATTTTCAGATTTTTGAATTCTCGGTTTTGGGATATTTCAATTTTTCGATTCTTCAATTTTTTTTCGATTTTTCAATTTTTCGATTTTCAGGTTTTCCAGTTCGTAGTTTTGGGAAATTTCTATTTTTCGATTCTTCAATTTTTCTTCGATTTTTCAATTTTTCGATATTTCAGTTTTGGAACTTTTCGATATTACTATTCTTCAATTTTTTAATTTTTCGACTTTCCGATTTCTCGATTTTGCGACTTTTTGACTTTTTGATTTTCCCATTTTACGATTTCTAACCTTTTCAATGTTTCTATTTCTGAACTTTTCGATGATTTTTCAGTTTTTCAATTCTTCAGTTTTGGGATTTTTCAATTTTTCAGTTCTTAAAATTTTAGATTTTTTGATGTATCAATTTTTCGTTCCTTCGATATTTGCAAGGATTTTTCAATTTTTCATATCTTTGAATTTTTAATTTTTTAGTTTTTTGATGTTCGATTCTTCAATCTTTTGATTTTTCGACTTTTCGGTTTTTCAATATTTCTTGATTCATCGAAATTCGTTTTGTTTTTCGTTTGTTCAATTTTCCGATTTTGGACTATTTCTATTTCTCGATTTTTCTATCTTTTGATGTTGTAATTTCTCGACTTTTCAGCTTTTCGATTTTCCAAATTTTCAATTTTTAGATTTCTTAAATTTGGGACTTTTTGATTTCTTGGCTTTTCGGTTTTTCGAGTCTTTAATTTTTTTGACTTTTTCATGTTAGATTCCCCGATTTTCCAAGTTTTTGTTTCCTCAATTTCTCAATATTTCAAATACGGGAATTTTTGAAGTTTTCGGGACTTCGTTTTCTCAATTTTTTGAAAAGTCCGCTCCACCAATTTTTTTCCATTCTCATTGAAGAAAATTTATACAAATTCAGTGGTAAAAAAAATTATAGTTCGTTATTACCCTGAAAGCTCGGGTGTAAGTCCGCTCGGCCATAAAAATTGAACATTAACATTAATACCCTCTTTGGGGCTATTTTAGATGAGATAAGTCTCAACACTTCTATTATTAAACACTCATGTTATAAAATTCCATACGCAACAACCGCTTCAAACGGAAATCATTATTATGAAACATCCGATATGTGTGAAAGATACTCTGTTAATCATTCACGATTCAAGCTCATGGGATATGAACTTGTTGACCGTTAATCAAACGACGTGGTTTTGTGTTCTGCTGCATCTGTTTTCAATCAAGATTTTTGTGTTCGCCTCGCGTGCCAAAACTGTCTTACCATACAAATAATAGTTTATTATTAAAACAGAAATATCTGTTGAAAGGAACGAGCAATACGTTGTCGAACTCTACAAAATATTAGAAAACCGAAAAATCGCACTTTCAAGCTTTCGTGCTCACATTTGCAAATGAAATGAATTCCATTCGTGAAAATTTCATGTTTTTGCGACGTTTCGTGACCCCTAGAGTACGAAAAAATAGGTCTCCCTTCAATTTTTTGTTCAAATTTCATTTTCTTTTCACCTAAATGCTGATGCGTGTTATCTGAACGTGCTAATTCTTTCGAAGCATAAACATAACAGCGGGATTAAACTGTGACCTGTTTAGTGACAAGTGCCAACTCGAACAACTCCGTTCAGCCCTACGGCGCTCCATTCACGAAACGTTTGCGATAATTTATTTACAAACAAGCCTAAATTAAACGAAAATAGTCTATAAATTAACTACTACAAGCGTACGACTGCTGCCAGCCAAGAACAATAGAACCCTACAAATAGCGCAACAGATGTTCAGGAAGAAAAGATAATACAAACAAGTGAAAGCGCTTTAGCCAATAATTAACTCCCAAGTCAGTTTTAATTGGTTTTTGAACTTTTCCAGCGTTTATTTGTTCAGTGCGATAACGATAGACGAGATAACACCTTTTCGAGTGTTCGAGTGTATTTTTGGAATTGTTTTTAAGTACCGTTTTCGACACAATTTGAATTTATTTTCGCACCACAACTAATTGTGAACCCACCCGACGATAACTTAATAGCTCGAAAAATAAAAAAACTCGTCGACACAATTAACAACTCGTTTACACCTCGTTTCCGATCTTGTCGTAACTCATCGTCCAAAAATACGTGTAGTGGCGTGATTTACGACTAAAACTGCACCCAGTGCATCCAAAACCATATTTAATATTTATAAATCGTATTTTTAGCAGGAATTCGGCCGAAAACTCAAAATCAACAAACGAGGAAAAACAAGCTGAAAGATTGGCCATAACTCACGGCTTGATTAATCCGCGCTTTGTGCGCGCTTTGGCGCAAACTGCGCGTGGCGGCTTTTAGAACTCTCACTAAAAATAATTTTTTTGTTAATCTTCCGTCTTGTTTACGGATAGCGTTTCGATGGCTGTAAACAGAATACAAAATAACGCAGGCCGGTGCATTGTTGACGTTGTTAAAATGCCAAAACGCCAAATAAAACACTCGGAATTAGATTACAAAGTGTTATTTATAAGCGCGCGAATTCGCCAAAGGAAGGAGCGTCATTCATTAGGTCGGGAGCTGGCGCCGGTTCAAAAGGGAGCGACGCTAATTTGGGGCGTTTTGTTCGCAGATCAACCCCCAGCACACGGTGCCCACGCTGGAGGATGACGACGACTTCGTGGTGTGGGACAGTCATGTGATTAATGGGTACCTCGTGGACAAGTACGGCGGGATCGACGATTCGTTGTACCCCACGGATATGCAGGAGAGGGCGAAGGTCAACCAGAAGCTGCACTTTGACACAGAATTCGCGACATTGAGTAACAGGATTGTGGTAAGTGGGACGCGGAATGCGCGGGCTGGTGGACAGAGTGCATGATCGGACGCGGCAAAGACCGGCTCGTGAAAGCGAATATACGCCAATTTTTACTTGGTGAGCCCTGGAGTACCAAAAGAATGTAAAAAATCAATGCAATGCTTGAAAGAAATCTTGAATTTGACTTATGAATCCGTGCTTTTGGGCAGAAAATCAAAATTTTATAACAATACCTATGCTATGAAATTTTGCAATTATCTTAATGTTATTGAAAGCATGGTAAATCGTTAATCAAAATTTGCCCGCCATTTTACAATTTTGCCCAATAAATGTTTTTCAAATTTATAAGCGTTTTTGGGAAAAAACTGAGTATTGTTAATTAATTAATCAGTCTTCACTTCAGCGTTGGGGAGACAAAATCAAATTTCATTTCATTTTAACAGCTGATGCTTGTAATCTGAACGGGCCAATAGTCGAATATTTTCGAAGTATAAGCATAAACAGTAGAAATTAAGCATGTACTGAGAAAGTGAGGATATCTACATTTTTTTCCGTTGGCTTCTGCCTTAAGTAAGTTTTTGGATTTCCAGTCTTCCAATTTTTCAATTTCTTTAATTTTCAATATTTTGATTTTACAGTGCATATTTATTTTTTTTTATTTTTCACTTTTTCGAATTTTAAGTTTTTCAATTTCTAATCCTTCGATTTTTCAAATTTTCGTTTCTTCAAATTTTCATGTTTGATTTTCACTTTTCACATTATTCAAGTTTTCATCATAAACTTTTTCGTTTTTTAATTTTTGATTTTTGAATTTTACAGTTTGTTGACTTCTAAATTTTTCAATTTTTCGATTTGCAATTTTTTGATTTTGCAATTTTTCGATATTACAATTTCTCATTTTACGATTTTTCAGATTCTCAGTTTTTAATTTTTGTCATTTTCGATTTTTCGTTTCCTCAATTTTTCAAGTTCTCGATTTCTATTTTTCATTTTCCCGATTTTTTTAATTTTCATTTTGTCGATTTTGTCACAAATTTTCATTTTTTCAATTCCTTTACTTTTGTTGTTTCTTTCGATTTTAAAATTTTTCATTTGTTCAATTTTTCAAATTTTCAGGCTTTCATTTTTCAATTCCATGATTTTCCACGTTTAAAATTTTTCAATTTGCAGTTTTTGGATTTCCAGTCTTCCAATTTTTAAATTTCTTTAATTTTCAATATTTTGATTTTACACTGCATATTTCCTTTTTTTTATTTTTCAATTTTTCGAATTTTAAGTTTTTCAATTTCTAATCTTTCGATTTTTCAAATTTTCGTTTCTTCAAATTTTCATGTTTGATTTTCACTTTTCACATTTTTCAAGTTTTCATCATAAACTTTTTCGTTTTTCAATTTTTGATTTTTGAATTTTACAGTTTGACTTCTAAATTTTTCAATTTTTCGATTTGCAATTTTTTGATTTTGCAATTTTTCGATATTACAATTTCTCATTTTTCGATTTTTCACATTCTCAGTTTTTAATTTTTGTCATTTTCGATTTTTCGTTTTCTCAATTTTTCATGTTCCCGATTTTTATTTTTCAATGTGGCGAATTTTTAATTTTATTTTTTCGATTTATGTCACAATTGTCCGTTTTTTCATTTTCTTTATTTTCTGTGTTTTTTTTTTCGATTTTACAATTTTTCATTTCTTCAATTTTTCAAATTTTCAGGCTTTGAATTTTTTCACTTTGCAGTTTTTGGATTTCCAGTCTTCCGATTTTCCAATTTCTTTAATTTTAAATATTTCTATTTCATAATAATTTTTTTTTTTTGATTTTTCAAGTTTTCATTTTGTAATTTTTCGTTTTTTATTTTTGATTTTTCAATTTTACAATTTCTCGACTTCCAAAATTTTCCATTTTTCGTTCCTTCAATTTTTCGGTTTGCATCAGTTTTTCAATTTAGCAATTTTTCAATATCCCAGATTTTCATTTTTCGATTTTACAGTTTCTCAATTTTTAATTTTTCCCTTTTCCAATTTTTTGTTTCCGATTTTTATTTTTCATTTTCCCGATTTTTTAGTTATCACTTTTTCGATTTACATCACAATTTTCCTTTTATTGATTTCCTTTATTTTTCGTTGTTTTTTTCGATTTTAAAATTTTTCCTTTATTAAATTTTTCAAATTTTCAGGTGTTTAGCAATTTTTCTTCAAATTTTCAAGTTTGATTTTCACTTTGTACATTTTTCAAGTTTTTATTATACACTTTTTCGTTTTGTTATTTTTGATTTTTCAATTTTACAATTTGTCGACTTCCAAATTTTCCAATTTTTCAAGATTACAATTTCTCATTTTTCCATTTTTCACATTGTCGATTTTTAATTGTGCCCTTTTTCAATTTTCCGTCCCCTCAATTCTTCAACTCCCCGATTTTTATTTTGCATTTTCCTGATTTTTTATTTTTCATTTTCTCGATTTTATATCACAATTTTTTGTTTTTTCATTTTCGTAATTTTTGTTGTTTGTTTCGATTTTCCAATTTTTCGTTTATTCAATTTTTCAAATTTTCAGGCCAATTTCAATTCGTCGATTTTCCAATTTTTAAATTTTTCAGTTTGCAGTTTTTGGGTTTCCACCCCTTTTTTACTTTTTGGATTTTCAATGTTTCGTTAAACTTTATATTTCTCAAATTTTCGACAGTTTTATACTTCGATTTCTTTTTTTTTTCTACTTTTCGTTGTTTTAATTTTTCTTTTTTAAAATGTTTCTTTTTTTTTTCTCGATTTATCGAATTCAGATGTTTGGATGTTTTGATTGTTCAATTTCTCAATTTAACAATTTCTCAATTTGTTTCTATTTCCCGATACTTCGATTTTTGGATTTCTGGGTTTTCGATTTTACCATTTTTCGATGTTTCGATTTTTCAGTTTTGCGATATTTCAATTGTTCAATGTTTTAAATTTTAGATTTTTCGATTTCTGGATTTTTTGATTTTCCAACAATTTTTCAAATTTTGACGTTGCTTAATTTTCAGTTTTCCGATTTTCGATTAATATATATATTTTTTTATTTTCCCGTTTCTCGAATTCGCAGTTTCGATTTTTCAGTTCTTCAGTTCTTCAGTTTTCCGTGATGAGTGATACCACCTTAAATATATTTCATATTGTGCACACTTGTGCCTTTTTTTTTCGGGGCCGCATAGTTTTTTTTTTAAGAAGGTTAATCTTTATCGGAGGCTACAACTGTTTCGTTTAAGAAAGTTAATTAATTAATTGTGATTATTATTTTTTTTTTAATTAATTAAAAGTGAAACCTTCTCAGGGGTCTCACTGTGTTTTTCTTAAAGAAGGTGAAACCTAGGGGGCACCAACTGTCTTTTCTTCAGAATGTCAAACCTAAACCTTCTCAAGGGTCCCAACTGCTTTTTTTAGACAAGGTGAAACCTTCTCGGGGGTCCCAACAATTTTTTTTAAAGCCAACGAAACCTTCTCAGGGGCCTTTTTAAGAATATAAAATCTTCTCGAGGTCCCCAATTGTCTCTTCTTTAAAGAATGTGAAACTTTCTCAGAGCCCAATTGTGTTTTCTTACATAAGATGAAACCTTTTCGGTGGTCCTAGCTGTCTATTTTAAGAATGAAAACCTTCTTGAAGGTCCCAAATTGCCTTTTCTTTTTAAGAGAGTAAAGTCTCCTCAGGGGTCCTAACTGCCTTTTTTTTAAAGAAGTGAAACCTTCTCGGGAGCCCCCAGGTTTTTTTTTTTTAAGATGCGAACCCTTCTCGGTGGTCCCAACAGTTTTTTTTAAGAAGGTTAAACCTTATTGGGGGCCACAACTGTTTCGTTTAAGAAAGTGAAACCTTCTCAAGGGTCTCACTGTGTTTTCTTAAAGATGGTGAAACCTAGAGGACACCAACTGTCTTTTCTTAAGAATGTCAAATCTAAACCTTCTCAGAGGTCCCAAGAGCCTTTTTTTTAAACAAGGTGTAATCTTCGCTGGGGTCCGAAAAGATTTTCTTTTTAAAGAAAACGAAACCGTCTCAGGTGCGCCAAGTGTCGTTTTTTTTAAGAGTATAAAATCTTCTCGAGGTCCCCAATGGTCTCTTCTTTAAAGAATGTGAAACTTTCTCAGGGCTCAACAGTCTTTTCTTTGAGAAGGTGAAACATTCTTGGGGGTCTTAGCTGTCTTTTTTAAGGGCCCAACTACCTTTTCTTTTTAAGAAAGAAAAAGTCTCCTTAGGTGTCCTAACTACCTTTTTTTTAAACAAGTGAAACTTTCTTCGGGTTCCCAACAGTTTTTTTTAAGGTTAAACCTTACCGGGGGCCACAATTGTTTCGTTTAAGAAAGTAAAACCTTCTTGGGAGTCTTAACTGTGCTTTCTTAAAGAAAATGAAACCTAAGAGTCACCAACTGTCTTTTTTTTCAGAATGTCAAACCTAAACCTTTGTACGGGTCCCAACTGCCTTTTTTTAGACAAGGTGAAACCTTCTCGGGGGTCCTAGCTGTCTTTTTTAAGGGCCCAACTGCCTTTTCTATTTAAGAAAGAAAAGTCTCCTTATGGGTCCCAACTACCTTTTTTTTTAAAAGAAGGGAAACCTTCGCGGGGACTACAACAGTTTTTTTTTTTTTGGTTAAATCTTATTGGGGTCACAATTGTATCGTTTAAGAAAGTAAAACCTTCTCGGGGGTCTCAACTGTATTTTCTTAAAGACAACGAAACCTTTGGGGTCCCAAGTGTCTTTTTTTTAAGAATATAAAATCTTTTCGAGGTCCCCAATGAAGAATGTGAAACATTCTCAGGGCCCAACTGTTTTTTCTTACATAAGGTGAAACATTTTCGGGGATCCTAGCTGTCTTTTTTAATACATTTTCTTGTAGATTTCGGGCAGCAGAAGTCATATCCGCTTTCATTTCTTCGATAACTCCAATGTTTTTTCCAAAATTGTCCTTTGAAATATTCACAAATATGCAAAATACGCCCAATTTTCCACCAATTTTCAACAAAATTTTCGAAATTTTACTTAATACATTTTCTTGTAGATTTCGGGTCGCAGAAGTCGTATTCGCTTTCATTTTTTCGATAACTCCAATGGTTTTTCCATAATCGTCCTTTGAAATATATAAAAATTTGCAAAATAACTCAAATTTTCCACCAATTTTACAACCAAATTTTCGAAATTTCATTAATACATTTTTTGGTCGATTTCGGGCCGCAGAAGTCATATTCGCTTTCATTTCTTCGTTAACTCCAATGGTTTTTCCAAAATCGTCCTTTGAAATATTCACAAATATGCAAAATACGCCCAATTTTCCACCAATTTTCAACAAAATTCTCGAAATTTCACTTAATACATTTTCTTGTAGATTTCGTGTCGCAGAAGTCATATCCGCTTTTATTTCTTCGATATCTCCAATGGTTTTTCCAGAATCATCCTTTAAAATATTCAAAAATATGCAAAATTCGCCCAATTTTCCACCAATTTTTTACAAAATTTTCGAAATTTCACTTAAGAATGAAAACCTTGAGGGCCCCAACTACCTTTTCCTTTCGAGAAAGTAGTCTCCTGCGAACCATTCTCAGGGGCCCCAACAGTATTTTTTTAAAGGTAAACCCTTATTGGGGGTCACAACTGTTTCGTTTAATAAAGAGAATCTTTCTCAGGGGTCTCGCTGTGTTTTTCTTAAAGAAGGTAAAACCTAGGGTTCATCAACTGTATTTTCTTAAGAGTGTCAAACCGAAACCTCCTCAGGGGTCCTAACTGCCTTTCTTTAAAACAAGGTGAAATCTTCTCAGGGGCCCCAAATGATTTTTTTTAAGAAAATGAAACCTCAGGGGCCCCAATTGTCTTTTTTAAGAATATAAAATCTTCTCGAGCTCCCCACTTGTCTCTTCTTTAGTGAATGTGAAAGTTTCTCAGGGCCCAACTGTGTTTTCTTACAGAAGATGAAACCATCTCGGGGGTCCTAGCTCTCTTTTTTAAGAGTGAAAACTTTCTTGAAGACCCCAACTGCCTTTTTTTTTAAATAAAGTCTCCGCGCGGATCCTAACTGCCTTTTTTCTTAATGAAGTGAAACCTTCTTGGGAACCCAATGTTTTTTTTTTTTAAGAATATAAAACCTTCTCGAGACCGCCAACTGTCTCTTTTTTTAAGAAGGTGAAACCTTGACAGGAGTCCCAACTGTGTTTTTTTAAGCAACAAGAAACCTTGACGGGGACCCAAGTAGTTTTTTTAAGGATATAAAACCTTCTCGGGGCTCCATCTGTCTTTTTTTTAAGAAGGTGAAATTTTCTCGGGGATCACAACTGTAATTTTTCAGAATGTAAAACCTTCTCGGGGGACCCAACTGTTTTTTTTAAGAAGATGAAACCTTCACGGGGGTCCCAACTGTCTTTTTTTAAACAACAAGAAACCTTCACGGGGATACAAATGTTTTTTTTAAGAATATAAACCTTCTCGAGACCGCCAACTGTGACACCTTCTCGAGGGTCCTAAATGTCCTTTTATTTGAACTAGGTGAAACCTTCTCGAGGGCTCTAAGTGTTTTTTTAAGAAGGTGAAACCTTCACAGGAGTCCCAACTGTGTTTTTTTAAGCAACAAGAAACCTTGACGGGGACCCAAGTAATTTTTTTAAGGATATAAAACCTTCTCGGGGCTCCATCTGTCTTCTTTTTAAGAAGGTGAAATCTTCTCGGGGATCATAACTGTAATTTTTAAAAATGTAAAACCTTCTCGGCGGACCCAACTGTTTTTTTTTTAAGAAGGTGAAACCTTCACGGGGAACCGAACTGTGTTTTTTTAAACAACAAGAAACCTTGACACGGATCCAAATGTTTTTTTTTAAAGAATATAAAGCCTTCTTGAGACCGCGAACCGTGAAACCTTCTCGAGACCACCAACTGTGAAACTGTCTCGGGGGTCCTAATTGTCGTTTTTTTTTACCAGGTGAAACCTTCTCGGGGGCTCCAACTGTTTCTTTCAAGAATGTGAAACCTTCTCGGGGACCCTAAGTGTTTTTTTAAGAATGCAAAACCTTCTCGGGGGCTCCATCTGTCTTTTTTTTTTTAAGAAGGTGAAATTTTCTCGGGGATCATAACTGTAATTTTTAAGAATGTAAAACCTTCTCGGCGGACCCAACTGGTTTTTTTTTAAGAAGGTGAGACCTTCACGGGGGTCCCAACTTGTTTTTTTAAACAACAAGAAACCTTCACGGGGATACAAATGTTTTTTTTAAGAATATAAATCTTCTCGAGATAGCCAACTGTGAAACCTTCTCGAGGGTCCTAAATGTCCTTTTATTTGAACTAGGTGAAACTTTCTCGGGGGTTCCAACTGTTTATTTTAAGAATGTGAAACTTTCTCGGGGGCCCTAGGTGTTTTTTTAGGAGTGCAAAACCTTCTCGGGGGCCCCAACTGTCTTTTTTTTTAAGAAGGTGAAACCTTCACGGGGGTCCCAACTGTGTTTTTTTAAGCAACAAGAAACCTTGACGGGGACCCAAGTGGTTTTTTTAAGAATATAAAGCTTTCTCGGGTATCCTAAATATCGTTTTTTTGAACTAGGTGAAACCTTCTCGGGGGCTCCAACTGTTTCCTTTAAGAATGTGAAACCTTCTCGGGGTCCATAACTGTCTTTTTTTTAAGAAGGTGAAACCGTCTCGGGGGTCCTAATTGCGTTTTTTTAAAGAATGTGAAACCTTCTCGGGCCCAACTGTCACTTACACCGTCACTAGTACTTTCTATAGAGATTATCAGAAAAAATAGAATTTCGCGAAATCAAATTTTACATTTTAGCTTAGAGGGAGGTTCTTTTGAAATAACTTCAGACAAATTTCCTTTACTTTAATGTTTGTATTGCTATTAATAACATATCTCTTTGATCAAAGTTCCGTATTGATGCATTAAACCTTATCAGATATATTTATTGCAATCAAGCACCATTTTTAAATAAAATTGTTTGCGAATATCGGTAGTGATAAGACAATTATGAGACCGTGTAGAGGTCAAGGGCAGTTACGTTAATCGAATCGTGTATCTAAAAGCGTCACGCTACATTTCCTTCCATGAATAAAGATCACGTCAGAGGGTTGCATGAAGAAATCTCCATATTTTAACTCTATTCTTAGCATAATCTCGTCATCTTTGTTGTGATTGTCCCTCTTCACCACCTCTTTCGATTTAATTTCTGTGTTCGTTTACCGAACAGATGGAGTGATCACGATTTTACAAGTCCATCTGTTCGGTAAACGACGTACAGCATTGTGTTTAACCTTCTTTCGTTTCTGCAGAAATCCATCTTGTGGGGCGGCAAGAAAAGCGCCCCCCAGGACCAAGTGGACGAGATCATCGAGCGCTACGACTTCCTCGAGAAATTCCTCGCCAGCGGCCCCTACGTAGCCTTAGGTCACCTCACCATTGCCGACTTCAGCCTCATCGCCACCGTCACAACCATCGAGCTAATCGTGCCCTTGGACCCCAAAAAGTACCCGAAAATCGCCGCCTGGATAAAGAAAATCCAGGCCCTTCCCTACTACGCCGCCAACAAGAACGGGCTCGACAAGGTCAGGAACCTCCTGGCGGCCGCCCTCGAAGCCTAAGAACCACCCAAGAACCAACCTATATCTTCTTACATGTACTACGTACTAATTTTGTTTTATGTTGATACTGCTTGTTTTTATGTAGACTTAAATAAAAACATAAAAATCCGGGGTTGGCTTTTTGTGAACCCAGAATCAAGGTTAAAAAAAGTACAACAGTCTGTGGGATGATTTATTGCGACTAAAGCACCTGAGGGGACTACGCTTCCGGGGTGGGGAGCATGTCCTTGAACTTGGCCAGGCCTACGGCGTTGCACTCCTCGAAGTAGGGGAGTTCTTTGCCGGTCTTCAGCCAGTCGGAGAGCTGCGGGAAGCGGTCGGCTTCCACCGGGATGAAAAGATCCGCGGTGGCCACCGTCGCCAGGATGCTCAAGTCGGCGATGGACATGTCGTCGCCGGCTAGCCACGGATGGCCACTTAGGAACTCTTCGAGGAAGCCGTAGGCTTCGATCAGCTTGTCGCGGTCGTCGTCGGAGATGTCTCCAGTCCCGGTGAACAGAGGAAACTGCAAATTAAATACAACGGGGGCGTGGGTTCTAATTCCACACCTGGCTTTTTTTTACGACGACAAAACAAAAGCAAAAACGAACCGCAACACGTCCCCAGGGGCAGTTAAACCAATTTGTTTCCCAAACAGCAACATAAAACTTTACACAGGCCCGCTGGCACGCTTAATCGGTTTATATCGTCCGGAGGCAAAAAATAGTCCCGCGTTGGGTATTGATTTATTGCACGAAAATGCGTTAACACGGTGGACATGCTCATAAAGCTCAATAAATCGAGTCATAAAATCAACTACTCGGATTTATTAATTTTATTTAAGTTCGGCCACGAAATTACTAGTCAAACGAGATATCGGGTGTCACGGATTTTCAGTCCAAATTTATTTATATTTGGTCCTTCGAGCCGGATGAACTAATCACGGATTAAATTGGCGTCTACGTGACCGGATTTGGTCCTTCGAGCCGGACTAAGCATTATAAATTTCCATTAAAAACTTTAAATATACCTCAAGTTAATGTCCGGCGAATGCCAACGCGCGCAATTGGAGCGACTTCCAAAAAACCTATTAGTTCCCGCCGGGTCATTTATTAAAATTGGCGTTTACAACTCGATCCAAGGTTCGTCATCTGTGACAATTTTGACGCAGGTCCTTGGACGACTTGCTCATAACATTAAATTCCGGGCTGGTGACTCACGAGTCATTCTATTTAAAAAAGCAGTGGCGTACGAGCTAAACCGAGCGTTGAAAATAGTGGTAATTGAGGCGTAATTCGACGAATAAATTGTGGACACGCGTTTTAAAACGAAAAATTCGCCGACTACAACTATTGATTTTGCAATCAGACTAATACAAACAAAATATGGACTCGCATTGGAAGGCGATTAGGGGCCACCCACTGTGCAGGGGAGGCGCGTGTGGGGGTAGTGGTTAGTGGGTAAACGTAATTACTTCGGTCAGGTGAGGCTATTTTCGGAGTAAAACTCAATAAAATTTTTGATTGGATGAAGATTGTGTACAATAATAAACAAAAGGGGCTTGAGGCCATCGATTATTCGGTAATCGTCTGATATAAATGACGTTTCCGTTTATTATTATGAGGTGCAATTAAAGCTTATTGTATTTGACGTCAATTTGGAGATGGCAGTATTTGTTTTGGGGCTTAATGGATTCGTAATGATGCGGAACATTGTAGATGATTATAGTGATTAGGAAAAATTATTGATCGGTGTAGACAGCTATTACAGAGACAGTTTTATGCAAGGACAACAAGAAAGGGATTAAAAGATAAATAAAATGCGACGATAGCGTCTAATTTACATAAAAGGGTCATTTCCATGCACTTTAACTGTCTGACAACATCGCAAGTGAAAAAAAAATGTTACGAGGAAGTAATCGGACGAGGTGAACATTCCTCTGTATAGTTACGTCAAAGTAATAAATAATATTGCTGGAACATACTACTGCTCACCTGTTATGTTATTTGTATATATTTTGGCTACACGATTTATTTTGCACATTTGCGAAGTTTCATTCTGAGAAATAATGCGCAACTTTATCACGGAAACGCAATTATTGTTTGCTGATGTGGACGTTGAATTTGAAAAAATTACACACATATTTTGTGACATAATTTTGGTAATTTTGACAGTGTTAGTTGGCAGCTGTGCAACTTACTGTCGAAATTTAAAATCGACGAACATTAACCTTGACGTCGTGACCATTTGAAATACCAAATTCTGTTTTTGAACTAGAACTAGATGCGTTTAAATATAGCAATGAATGGTTACTAATATGTGATGCTAAGTAGGAGGACATATCTTAAGTTTCTTACATTTTTTTCTGTTCTTTTAATCAATTTAACAAAGAGATATCGCGAACAAATTTTGAGAATGAAAAATATAATTAACTGAAAAATCAAAAACTGATTAATTCAAAAAACGAAACATTTTAAAAACGAAGAATTATAAAACTGAAAATTGAGAAATTAATTAACTAAAAAATTAGTGTACACTGAAAAATTAGAATTGGAGTTTTCAACAATTAAAAATCAAAAAATTGGATAATTGTAAACTCGAACAGGTGAAAAATAAAAAATTCAAGGATCCCAAAACCGAAAAATCGAGAATTTGGAAAATATGATAATTAAAAATAAAAACTAAAAAAGTGATTTATTAAAAACTGGAAAATTGAGAGATCGAAAAATTGGAAAAATATAAAACCGGAAAATCAAAAAGTTTCAACACTACAAAACTGAAAATTCGTATAATTAAAAAACTTGAAAAATTGGAAAATCAGGCAATTCTAAAATAGAAAAAATTCAAGATTGAAAAATCTAAATATTGCAAAATTATGAAACTGGGAAATCAGAAACGTGGAAAATCGAAATTTTGAAATATTAAAAATCGAAAAATTAGGAATTATTAAACTGGTAAACCAAAAACTAAAAAAATAAAACTGAAATTTTGAACAATAAAAAATCGAAAAATTGACAATTAGTGAAATTACAAAATTGGAAAATTGGGTAATTATATAATCAAAAATTCCTAAACAGAAAAAAAAATTACAAAATTATGAAACTGAAAAATCAATAATTGTAAAATAGAAAAATTAGAGAATTAAAAAATCAAAAAATTGCAACATTACAAATGAAAAATTTAAATTTGAAAAAGTAAAAATCGAAATTTTCAAAAATTATAAATCAGAAAATTGGAAAATGGAAACAAGGAAATTGAGATAATTTAAAAATCAAAAATTGATTAATCGAAAAACCGAAAGATTTGAAAAACGAAGAATTATAAAATTGTAAATTGAGAAATTGATTAACCAAAAACCGAATAATTGAGACATCCATAAATTGTGAAAATGTAAAACTGAAAAATCAACAAGTAAGAAATCGAAAAATTGAAAAATCGGAAACCTTTAAAGACGAAAAATTCTAAAATAATTAAAACAACGAAAAACTAGAACTGAAATTTTCAACAATTAAAAATAAAAAAATTGGATAATTGTAAACTCGAAAAAGGTATTAAACTGCAAAATTATTATTAAACTGAAAAATCGAGAAATTGGAAAATCTGATAATTGAAAATAAAAACTGAAAAAGTGATTTATTAGAAACTGGATAATTGAGAAATCGAAAAATTGGAAAAATATAAAACCGGAAAATCAAAAAGTTTCAACACTACAAAACTGAAAATTCGTATAATTAAAAAAGTTGTAAAATTGTAAAACCGGGCAATTGTAAAATAGAAAAAATTCAAAATTAAAAAATCGAAATACTGCAAAATTATGAAACTGAGAAATCAGAAACGTGGAAAATCGAAATTTTGAAATATTAAAAATCAAAAAATTAGAAAAGCGAAACAATGAAATTTGGTTACTTGAAAAATGAAAAACTGAAAATCCAGATACCGTTAAGAACGAAAAATTGAGAAATAATTAAACTGGAAAACCAAAAACTAAAAATTTAAAACTGAAATTCTGAACAATAAAAAATGAAAAAAATTGAGATTTAGTAAATTTACGAAATTGGAAAATCGAACAATGGTAACATCGAATAATTTCATAATGCAAAAATTGAAAAATCAATTATTGTAAAATAGAAAAATTAAAAAATTGCAAAATTAAAAATGAATAATTTAAGTTTGAAAAAGTGAAAATCGAAATTTTCGAAAATTAAAAATCAAAAAATTGGAAAATGGAAACAAGGAAATTGAGATAATTTAAAAATCAAAAATTGATTAATCGAAAAACCGAAGAATTATAAAATTGTAAATTGAGAAATTGATTAATTGAGACATCCATAAATTGTGAAAATGTAAAACTGAAAAATTAAAAAGTAAAAAATCGAAAAATCGGATACCTTTAAAAACGAAAAATTATAAAATAATTAAACCGAACCAAAATTAGAATTGAAATTTTCAACATTTAAAAAAATTGAAAAATTGTAAAAAAAATTGTAGAATCGAAAAATTATTGAACTGTAAATCTGAAAAATTGCGAAAATATAAAACTGAAAATGCAATTACTTCAAAATAGAAGAACTGAAAAATTTAAAAATCCAAAAATTGCGAAGTAATGAAATTGAAAAATTTAAACTTGAAACATTGAAAATCGAAATTTGGAAAAATTAAAAATGAAAAAAGTGGAAAAAATGAAGCTGAAAAAATTGAAAACTCACAAACTGAATAACTGAGAAAACGGAACATTTTAAAAAAGAAAAATCGGATATCTTCAAAAACAAAAAATTCTAAAATCCCTAAACTCAAAAATTGGAATTGTAATTTTCAACAATTGAAAATTGAAAAATTGTAAAATTATAAAAATGAAAAATTAGGCAATTGTAAATTAGGGAAATTGGAAAATCTGATGTAATTGAAAAAAAAATTGGAAAAAATAAAATTAAAAAATCAAAAATTTAAAAGTTATAAAACTGAAAATTCGTATAATTTTGACTGAAAAACTGAAAAATCAGGCAACTGTAAAATACAAAATACACAAAATTGAAAAACTGAAAAATTGCAAAATTATAAAACTGAAAAATAAAAAATTTGGATAATTGGAAATCAAAATTTTGAAATATTAAAAATCAAAAAATTAGAAAACCAAAACAATGAAATTCGGATACTTGAAAAATGAAACACTGAAAAATCGGCTACCCTTAAAAACGAAAGATTGTAAACTAATTAAACTGAAAAATTAGAATTGGAATTTCCAACAATTAAAAATCAAAGAATTGAGAAATTGTAAAATTACAAAATTGAAATATTGGATAGTTGTAAACTCGAAAATTTATTAAACTGTAAAAATGAAAAATTGCAAAATTATTAAAATGAAAAATTGCAAAATTATTAAAATGAAAAATTGAACAATTGAAAAGTCGGGAAATGGAAAATCTGCTAATTGAAAAATCAAAAATTGAATAACTGAAAAAACGAAATATTTTAAAAGAGAAAAATTATAAAATTGATATTGAGAAATTGATGAAGAAAAAAAGTATAAAATCGAAAAATTGAAAAACCGGATAGTTTTAAAAACGAAAATTGCTAAAATCCTTAAACTGAAAAGTTGGATAATTGAAAAATCGACAAATTCGATAATAACTGAAAAATCAAAAATTGGAAAAATGTAAAACGAAAAAATCAAAAATTTTAAAAGTTACAAAACTGAAAATTTGTTTAATTTTAAAATTGAAAAATCAGGTAAATGTAAAATAGAAAAAATACAAGATTGAAAATTCGAAAAATTGCGAAATTTTGACATTGGAAGATCAAAAACTTGGAAAATTGGAAATCGAAATTTTGAAATATTAAAATCAAAAAATTAGAAAAACGAAACAATGAAAATCGGATAATTGAAAAATGAAAACTGAAAAATCGGATGTTTAAAAACGAAAAATTGTGAAACAATGAAATTGAAAAATCAAAAAACTTGAAAAACTGATTCATTAAACTGGGGAATTGAGAAAACGAAAAATTGGAAAAATATAAAAATAAAGTTACAAAACTGAAAATTCGTATAATCTTAAAATTGAAAAACTGAAAAATCAGGCAATCGTAAAACAGAAAAAGTATAAAATTGAGACATCGAAAAACTGCAAAATTATAAAATTGGAAAATCAAAAACTTGGAAATGTGGCAAACAAAATTTTGAAATATTAAAAACAAAAAATTAAACAAGCGAAACAGGAAAATCGGATAATTGAAAGATGAAAAACTGAAAAATTTGAAATTTCAACAATTAAAAATCAAAAATTTGTAAAATTACAAAATTTAAATATTGGATCATTGTAACCTCAAAAATCTATTAAAATGTAAAAATGAAAAATTGCAAAATTATTAAATTGAAAAATCGAGAATTGGAAAAAATATAAAACGGAAAAATCAAAAAATTTCGAAACTACAAATACGTATAATTTTAATATTGAAAAATCAGCCAAAAACAGAAAAAGTACAAAATTGAAAAATCGTAAACTTACAAAATTTAAATTTGAAAAATCAAAAACTTGCAACATTGGCAATCGAAATTTTGAAATATTAAAGACAAAAAAATAGTAAGCGAAATTTCGGATAGTCGAAAAATAAAAATTGAAAAATCGGATACTAATAAATCAAAAACTTGAAAAATTTAAACTGTAAAAATAAAAAATGTAAAATTATAAAAATGAAAAACCGAGAAACTAGAAAATAAAAAAAATGTACAATTACAAACAAATTGGTCTAAATTTTATTTATTTATGATAACCCCTGTAAATTAAAACGTGACTACAAAAAATATTATATATTTTCGGGAAATTTATTTGAGCCGTTCCTGATTTAATCAATAAAATAAATTGACTGACTCATTTTTTTTAATCACCCTGTATAAACAATTCTGAAAAACATTGATGCAATGATAAATCACAAGTGTAAATTCATCATATTATGTACATTTTAGGTGGGATTTATTCGGCAAAATTTTGAGATGATTTCATCAATTTTTGAGTGAATAAACAGATATATTTTGAATAAAAATTACACAGCATTCGGTCTTGCAGTTTCAGAATAAAATTGTAAGACGTTATTATACAGTTATACACTTTTGATTTTTTTCCAAAAATATGACTGTCTGAGCTAAAAACTCAGCACGGATTCATAAACTACACGTATGCTATTTTATAAAATTTAAAACTCATTTTCTATGTACAATTTTGAGGTGACGTCAACAATCAACGTAAACGGGGGAGCATTTTTTTCGTACACTAGAAGTCATGAAACGTCTAGAAAGCATGAAGTACCAATTCGCCCGATGGACTTGGCTTACGCTCAGCAAGTAAAAAAAACAATGTTTCTTCACTTTCTTCATCCCCCAAACCTAGACAATCCCCCAACTTACGGAAGCCGTGCAACATCGCACGTACAACACCCCATTTTCAAAGTGCAGCCTCTGATCGATAACCGCCCTTTTGCGCACGTCGTCCTTGGGGTACAACGTGTCGTCCTCGGCGTACTGCCCTACCAAATACCCTGCGATCGCATGGCTGTCCCAGATCACGAAATCGTCATCGACCAGGATGGGCACGGTGTGCTGGGGGTTGAGCTGCAACAGACGCACCCTCACTTCCCACTTCCAACAACCCCCAATCCAGGAAATCAGCATTCATTGTCATTATTTCTTCCCCGACGACCAAGGCGAGCCTCCATGGCAACAAGGCCCGGCCTTAACCTAAAATTCGACGAACGCCGATTTCCTGGGGTGGATTGAGCCCCTGAACTTGGCAATTTCCGCCCTACCTCCAGCATCTCGGGGGTGCGCAGCGCCTCCTTCTCGACCTCCTCGACGTCGAGCTCGAGCCCGATGGCCTTGGCCACCATGAGGACGGTCCTGCACGGGGGGCTGGCGTACATGACGTAGAGCTTGGGTGCCATGGTGTGTGCGCCGGAGGGTAGACGCTAGCCGACTGAATGCTGATCCTTCAAAGGACAACGCTTTCTGCCGTCGGAAGGCGATCGAATTGCGACTGGGTCACGGTCAGGGCCGGAGTCGGGCAGGTCGGGGCCCGTGGCGCCGGGAATTTTATCAAGCGGGCGGGAGAAAATCCAATTTATAGTGGATAGTTTGCGGACACAACAACATAGAGTAGTAAAAAGGTCTGGTCATAAATTGGCCCAAGATGGTTCAGTGCTTTTTACAGCTCACAATTTCCAAAATTTTTTTTTTTCGTTGTCGAAGTTGCTTAGTCCGGCTCTGTTGTTACCAGTAATGGATTAGCGCTGGTCGATGAGGAGGTACGACACAGGGACGTACGCGTCAATATTTTATTATGGAGGTGTAATGGGCGGAATTTTCTGCTTTAACGGGCTGGTATTGATTATAGTATTTCGTGTGTTAACAAGTAACTAACATAAATACATATATAAAAATTGATGGGCTTTTCATAGGCAGGATAGACATTTGTTCACAACACGATTTGCTTTTATTGTCGCTGCTAAATCTGGATTTAATTTAGGAGTAAAAAATATGTACTTAGTGAGAGGTCATGGAAAGACTGTTTGAAAAAAAAAAGGATAAGTGGGTTATGTTCACATAATCCTGTTTGTCACACTTGTGAGTTCTTTGTCTAAAATCGTCGGTTTCCAGTTCTTGGTTGGCCATGTCGAATTTCATTGTCGGAATTAATTCTCCTAATCACAAAAATTCGTTCGGTGATTAGCGCCATATATCCCTGTATTTTGAATAAATTTGGTTTTTGAAGGAGAGAAAGTAGTGAAATTTTATAAAATTAGAAAAATATACCATGTTGTTTGACGTTTAACACAACAAAACGCGTTTTCATAATTTCAAAATTTTTATACTTATTGTTTTATTCGTTATTGATTTTCTTAACAAGATCTGTTTTTTATTATTCAAAACTGGTTTCATTAAAATTTCAATAATAACTTTAGAAATCTTGTGCTTGTGGTTATTACGGGCAAATAAATATTGAATAAGAACAGAAATATCAAATATATTTAAAGCAGATGACTAACGGAAAAAATGCTTTTCGAACCGAGATATTAAGAAACCGAAAAATTGAAAAATCAAAAAAATTGAAAAATAAAAAATTTTAAAAATTTGGAAAAACAGAAACTCGAGAACTGAAAAATCGAAAAATCTATAATTTAAAAAACTGAAAATTAAAAAATCGAAAACTGAAGAACCGAAACTAAAAAATCATCGTGAAATTGAAAAATGACGAAAAATTAAAAAATTGAAACAAAAAAATTCAAAAAGTGAAAGATCGAGGAATTGCAACATCGAGAAGACAAAAAATTGAAAAATGTAAAAGTCAAAAATAGAAAAATTTAAAATAAAAAAAAAATCCAAAAATCGAAAAATTGAAAAGCCCAAAACATAACATAAATTAAAAATAAAAAATTTGAAAAACTAAAAAATATAAAACCGTGAAGTCGAAAATCAGAAGATGAACAAAAACTGAAAAATTGTAAAAATTCAAAAATAGAAATATCGATGAACTGAAAAAGCGAGGAATCGAGAAATTGAAAATCTAGAATTTAAAAAATGAAAAATTAAAATTTCACAAACTTGAGGAATTGAAAACTTGAGAAATCGTGAAATCGATATTTCAAAAAATCGAAAAATTGGGAAATTGAAAATCCAAAAGGGAAATGACGAAAAGTTTGAAAATCGAAAAATGAAAAAATCGAAAATCGAAAAATCAAAAACTCGAAACATCAAAAACTGAAACACCGAGACATCGAGAAACCAAAAAATCAAGAAGTCTAAAAATCGAAAAATTTGGAGAAATTGAACAAAAAATTTAAATTTTGAAATCTTGATAAATCGGGAAATCGAAAAATTCCAAAATTGAAACGACGAAAAATTGGGAAATCGAAAAATTAAAAAATCGAAACTTCAAAAATTTCAAAACCTGAAACACCGAGAAATTGAAAGATCGAAAGATCGAGAAATCGCAACATCGAGAAGACAAAAAATCGAAAAATGTAAAAGTCAAAAATAGAAAAATTTAAAATAAAAAAAAAAATCCAAAAATTGAAAAATTGAAAAGCCCAAAACATAACATAAATTAAAAATAAAAAATTTGAAAAACTAAAAAATATAAAACCGTGAAGTCGAAAATCAGAAGATCAACAAAAACTGAAAAGTTGTAAAAATTAAAAAATAGAAATATCGATGAACTGAAAAAGCGAGGAATCGAGAAATTGAAAATCTAGAATTTAAAAAATGAAAAATTAAAATTTCACAAACTTGAGGAATTGAAAAATTGAGAAATCGTGAAATCGATATTTCAAAAAATCGAAAAATTGGGAAATTGAAAATCGAAAACAGAAATGACGAAAAGTTTGAAAATCGAAAAATGAAAAAATTGAAAATCAAACAATCAAAAACTCGAAACATCTGAAACTCAAGCATCGAGAAACCAAAAATTCAAGAAGTCTGAAAATCGAAAAATTTGGAAATCGAAATCGCTAAAAGTTAAAAATTGAAAAATTTAAATTTAAAAAATCGAGAAATTGAACAACAAAAATTGAAACTTTGAAGCATTGAAAATTGGAAAATCTAGAATTTAAAAAATGAAAAATTAAAATTTCACAAAATTGAGGAATTGAGAAATTGAAAAAACGATAAATCTATATTTCAAAAAATCGAAAAATTGAAAAGTTGAAAAGTCTAATAATCGAAAAACCCAGAAATCAAAAATCTAAAAATTGAGAAATTGAAAAAATCCAAAAAGGGAAATGACGGAAAGTTGGAAAATCGAAAAATGAAAAAATCGATAATCGAAAAATCAAAAACTCGAAACATCAAAAATTGAAACACCGAGAAATCGGGAAATCGAAAAGTCAAAAAGTCTAAAAATCGAAAAATTGGAAAATCGAAGTCTGAAAAGTTAAAAATTGAAAAATTTAACATTAAAAAATCGAGAAATTGAACAATAAAAAATTGAAACTTTGAAACCTTGATAAATTAAAAAATTGAAAAATCTAAAAAAATATTGAGAAATTGAAAAAATCCAAAACTGAAATGACGAGAAATCGAAAAGGCGAAAAACCGAAAACCGAGAAATCAAAAACTCGAGACATCAAAAACTGAAATACTGAGAAATCGGAAAATCGAAAAATCAAAAATTCTGAAAATCAAAAAAATGAGAAATCGAAATGCGCCAAAATCGAAATATCGAAAAGTCAAAAATTGAAAATTTAAAAATAAAAAATCGAGAAATTGTATAATAAAAAAATCGAAACTTCCAAGTCTCGATAAATCGCGAAACTGAAAAATACAAAAACCCAAAAATTGAAAAATCGAAAATTCAAAGATTTTAAAAATCGAAAAATTAAAAAACTGAAGAATCTAAAACCGAGAAGTCGAAAAATCAGAATATCAACAAATCAAGACATCAAAAAACTGAAAAGTCGTAAAATTGAAAAATAGATATATCGATGAACTGAAAAATTGAGAAATCCAGAAATTGTAAAAATCTAAAATTTAAAAAAATGAAAAATTAAAATTTCACAAAATTGAAGAATGGAACAATTGGAAAATCGAGAAATCGATAAATTGAAGAATCGAAAAACTGAAAAATCGAGAAATAGAAAAAAATCAAAACTGAAATGACGAAAAATTGGAAATTTGAAAAATCGAAAACCTGAAAAGTCGAAAAATCGGAAAGCTTTCGAGCTTTCGAACTCTCGAAAGCTCGAAACATTAAAACCTGAAACACCAAGAAATCGGGAAATAGAAAATTCAAAAAATCAAAAAATCGAAAAATTGAGAAATCGAAATACGCCAAAATGGAAATATCGAAAAGTTAAAAATTGAAAAATTAAAACAATTTAAATAAAAAAAAAATAGATTAATTGAACAATAAAAAAAATCGAAACTTCGCGATCTCGATAAATGTAGAAATCGAGAAATTGAAAAACTCAAAACTTGAAAAATCGAAAAATCAGAAATTTTAAAATATAAAAAATTCAAAAAAATTAAAAATCGTAAAATTGAAAAATAGAAATAATATCGATGAACTGAAAAATCGAGAAATCGAGAAATTGAAAAATTTAAGATACAAAAAAAATTAAAAATCGAGAAATCCAAAAAATTGAAAAACCGAGAAATCGAAAATTTAAAATTTAAAAATTAGAAAAATTGAGAAATCGAATAAATCCAAAACTGAAATAACGAAAAATGGAAAAATCGAAAAATCAAAATATTGAAAATCAAGAAATCAAAACTCACTCAGAAAAATCGGGAAATCGAAAAGTCAAGAAGTCGGAAAACTGAGGAATCGAAATATGCCAAAATGGAAATCTTGAAAAGTTAAAAATCGAGACATTGAACAATAAAAAAATCGAAACTTGAAAATCTCCATACATCGAGAAATCGAAAAATTGAAAATCCCAAAATTTAGAAAACTGAAAAATCTAACACCGAAAAATCGAAAAATGGAAAGGTCTAGAAATGGAAACATCAAAAAACTGAAAAATTGAAGATTTAAAAATTGGAAAAATTGAAGACAGAAATATCGAAAAATCTAAAATTTTAAAAATTGGAAATTTAAAATCTCGAAAAAATAAAAAATCCAAAATTTCACTCGAAACCATAAAAATCAAAATAATAAAAAGTCGGGAAACCGAAAAATTGAAAAATATTGAAAAATCCTAAAGTCGAAGTATTGAAAAATTGCAAAATGGAAGAAAAATTCACGAATCCAAAAATTGAAAAATCCCAAAACTGAAACATCCAAAAACTGAGAAATCGAAAATTTGAAAAATGGCGAAATTGAAAAGTCGAATAATCGAAAATGTAAAAAAATCAAAAACCTGAAAAAATGAATAATTGAAAAATTGGGAAATTGAGAATTCGAAAAACTGAAAATTTAAAAACGTCAAAAATAAAATCGAAGAGGCGATTAATTAAAAAATCCTAAAACTGAAACATCGGAAAATTGAGAAATCGCAAAATTTGAAGAATCGAGAAATTGAAAAATCGAAAAATTTAGGACAAAATTTAAAAAATCCCAAAACTGAAAAATTGAGAAATCTAAAAATCTATAATTTTAAAAATTGGAAAATTAAAATATCGAAAAATTGAAAAATCGATGTAATACAAAATGGAGGAATCGAAAAATATTGAAAAATTCCAAAGCTGAAGTACCGAAAAATTTGAAAATGCCAAAACTAAAGCATCAAAAAATTCAAAAATCCCAAATTTAAAAATCAAAAAAATTAAAAATCAAAAATCTGAAAAAATGATTTGAAAAATCGAGAAATGGGAAAATAAACAATCGATTAATCGAGAAATCAAAAGGGAGAAATAGAAAATTGGAAAAATCGGGAAACTGAAGAAACGAAAGATTTAACAAAAAAAACCTAAAAAATGTCAAAACTGAAAAATCAAAAAATTTAAAATCTTAAGGATTGGAAAATTAAAATCTCGAAAAACTGAAAAATCTAAAATTTAACTATCGAAAAACTGAAAAATCGAAACAATAAAAAATGGAGAAATAGAAAAACCGAAACATATTTAAAAAATCCAAAGTTGAAGTACCGAAAAATTATAGAATGGAAAAAAAATTGAAGAATCGAAAAACTGAAAAATGGCAAAATTGAAACATCGATAAACTGAGAAATCCAAAATTTGAAAGATGGAGAAATTGAAATTGAATAATCGAAAATTGAAAAAATCAAAAAACTGAAAAATCAAAAACCTGAAAAACGAAAATTGAAAAATAGAGAAATTGGAAAATTGGAAAATCGACAAAATGAAAAATCGAAAAATTAAAAAAAAAAACTAAAAATCGAAAAGCTGAGAAATAGAAACCCGAGAAAAATTAAATTCGAAAAATGATTGTACTTACAATTTTTTTTGTTTTCAAAAATCTCGATGTCGAGGATAAAAATTTAACACGAAATCATAAACCACAAGTTCAGGATTATGTTATTTTTTAACATTCAAATAATATTTTCTCGACAGAATTGTAAAATAACATCAAATCTTAGGGTACAAAAATACCAAGCACAATTTTTCGTTAAAGAAAATTACAGTAGATAGCGCTAGCTACGAACGAATTTTTGAGGTTAGCAGAATCAATCAAATACCCCGGTTAGATTTTAGTTGGCCATGAGCTATCATACAAAATTTAATTTATTTAATGGAAAAAATTTTATTTTTTTCAGAACACGTTCGTAATTATTGTTATTGGAGAGGAAGTGGTTAAAATAAAAATTCCAAACCATCGCTCACAATTTTATTAACTGCACCTTATACTACGAACAAAAATCCCTCACGTAAGCAATAACCACTTTTCTGCACGACACAGTCTTGTCGCGTGAGCGAACTTCCCAGGGTTATTACTTTGGTTGCTAGTAGTTATATAGTGGGGCCTCTGGTTCAGTTCGTCTTGCGCAGACTCCATGAATTCAAATTTTCCCTCCAAAAAGTGACCAGCAGCCCCACTATATAACCACAAAATCGTCGCATAAGGGTCAAATTGAACGTTTCTGGGTGCCCTCAGCACCCCTCCTGCTCGAACTTATAGCTGTGCACCTTCGTCATGTGCTTCTGCAGATCCTGCTTATAGTAATACGCGCTCTCGCAGTAGCAACACCTCAAATTTTTCTCCTTCCCACACTCCACCTTCATATGCCGGCTTAAATTCCTCTTTAACGTGTACGATTTGCAACACTTAGGGCACGGGTACCGCACTGAAAAAGCCTCTCGTTAATACACCGGTCACTGTCGCCACCGCGACGAAATAAAACCCCAAACCATTTAAAAATGCTTATATTTAGTCACATCGGCAATACCAGGGTGTACACTAATCATATGTTTCAAAACGCTCGACTTGTGCTTAGCCTTGTAGGCGCATTTGACGCACGAAAAAGACGGCTCTTTTTGGCATTCGTATTTCTGGTGGCGCCACAGAGATCTCGCCACCTTGTAGCCTCGGCCACAGGTGGCACACTTGAAAGCACCTGAAAAACGGGGCCGTTAGTACGTGGCGCAATGACAGCGGACAAGACAATGACAACTAGTGCTTATTGGCCATGTGCGAGATGAGACTCGATTTGTAACGGGTTCGGTGGCCGCATTGATGACACTCCAGCTTCGGGGTCTTTTCGCACTCGTAGGTTAAGTGACGCACTAAACTACACTCGTTTTTGTACGACCGCTTGCACCGCTGGCAAACGTACCGTGCACCTGAAAAGGCAAGAGTCAATTCAGTTCTTTCTAGTAACGCTGTATTGGAAATTAAGCTCGCGGAGCGAGCAAGACTTGCCCCGAACGCACACAATCTAACAAACAAAGAAGAAAAAAAGTGTTTGAACTAGTGTTTATTCGCCATATGGCTGACAAGGTTCGACCTGTAATGGGTTTTGTGTCCACATTTGTGGCACTGGAACCGTGGCGGCTTTTGGCACTCGTAGGTCACATGGCGCACCAAACTGCAGCTGTTTTTGTACGACCTTTCACACATCTTGCAAGTGTGTCGGTTACCTAAAAATGGCACAGTCAAAATGTCATCCTCAAAGAAAAACCAACTCTAAGCAACAGTTTATTTCTAACTTGTACATTAAATCTTTTCTACGTTGGCCTTCTGCCACTCTTTGCTGGTGTGTCGCACAAGGTGCTGTTTTAGGTTACTTTTAATTTTTGACACAAAGAGGCAATTCGGCACGTGGCACCGAAACAGCGGCTCTTTTCCACACTCGAATTTCTTGTGTCTGTGTAAAGACTGGGAGTGCCTGTAGGAACGCGAACATCGTTGGCACGTGTACAGGCGCCTACCTGTAAAAGACGGAGTTAGATTAAGTGCTTAGAAGGGAGGAAAAAAAGGGAAAGAAAAAACTCGGACGTGGAAAAGTTTTATTTGAAATCTCGTCTATATTCGTGGCGTTTGTGGTGGGCCGTGAGGTTTCCCTTCACTTTGGTTATGAAAGTACAGCCTGTGTATTCGCATTTGAATTTGGGCTTCTTCTCGCATTCGAACCTCTTGTGGTTGTACAGCGACGACGAATGCTTATAGGAGCGAAAACATACCTTGCAGGTGTATTTTCGGACCAGATCTGCAAAGTTTTCAATGAGAAAGAGGCTAAATCGGAGTACGAGAGGTGTCTGCACTAACCGATGGAAGGAGGGGCGAATTTTAGGAGCGGTTGCTTCGTATTGGGTGAAATGTAACACGTGACACACCGTTGTTGTTTTTGATTGGGTAAGGCGTCGACTGAGAACTTGTTTGATCTGCGGACCACAGCGCGCTCAGGCCAATGTCGACTCTAAGCGTTCAGCGATTTAGTTGGTTTGGACTATAATTTCTGGGAAATAATTGTTTGGTCGGATTGTATAACGAATGAGTGAACATTTTTAGTACATATTCAGATGGTTTTGTTTACAAACATAATATCACATGCTTCTATTTTTTGTTTAATTAAGAAATAATCTAGTTATCATTGTTTTGGAAATTTTGTGTTTTACTTTGTAGTATGAATTTTTGAATGTTTTTAGTGACAATTTTTGTGGCTATTTTCGAGGTTATTTTCGATACATTGTTTGATATTAACACAGAAAAAAAGAACAATTAAAATAATCGAAAAATTGAGAAATCGAAAATCTGAAAAACCAAGAAATCTAAAAATCGAAAAGTCGAAAAATTTTAAAAAACGTAAAACCGAAAAATTGAATAATCGCAAATTGTAAAATTTAAAAAATCGTATAATTGAAATCGAAACATCGAATAATTGGCAAAATCGAAAAATCCAAAAGCCGACAAGTAAAAAGTAAAAAAAATCACAAGATCGAGAAATTGAGAAGTCGAAAAGTCGAGAAGTCAAAAAATCGAAAAATTGAGAAACCGAAATTAGCCAAAACCGAAAAAGCAAGAAAAGATCGAAACATTTAAATTTCGATAAACCGAGAAATAAAAACATCGAAAAATTGAAAAACTGAAAAAAAGAAAATTGAAAAGAAAGTCGAAATTTCGAAAATTTGAAAAATCGAAACATTGAAAACAAAGCAATCTAAAACCGGAAAGTCTAAAAATCGGAAGATGGAAATATCAGAAAGCTGAAAAATCAAAACTGAAAAATTAAAAAAATTAAAATATGGAAAAATCGAAAAGTTGAAAATCGAAAAATCGAAAATTTGAAAAATCGGAAAATTGACGAATTGAAAACTTCTAAAACTGTAATGAAAAAATAAGAAATCGAAAAATCGAAACATTAAAAATTGAAAATCGAAAATTCGAAAAGCTCAAAAATCGAGAAATCGAAAAGTCGAAAATTTAATAAATCTAAAAATTGAAAAATTATAAAACTGAAATGACGAAAAATAATCTTGAAATTCGAAACATCGAAAAATTGGAAAATCGAAAATTCGAAAAACCGAAAAATCGAGAAATCGAAAAGTCGAAAATTTAATAAATCGAAAAATTGAAGAATTAAAAGGCTGAAAAACTGAAAAATTGAAACACTGAAAAGTCGAGAACTCGACAAATGGGAAAATCAAAAAATTCGTCGAGAAAGTGAGAAATCGAAAAATTGAAAAATCGATCATCAAAAAATCGAAAAATTCAAAAATTGAAAAATCTAAAATTGAAGATTGAAAAATCGAAAAACCGAGAAATCGAAAATTTAAAAATTCGAAAAATTGAAAAATCGGAAAATTGAAGAATTGAAAACAATTGTTAACAATCGAAAAATTGAAAAGTCGAAAATTTAATAAATCAAAAAATCAAAAAATCAAAATCCAGTAAAAATTGAAACATTGAAAAATCGAGAAACGATAAATGGGTAAATAAAAAAAATTGAAAAACTGAAAAATTAAAAAAATTAAAATATCGAAAAATCGAAAAGTTGAAAATCGAAAAATCGAAAATTTGAAAAATCGGAAAATTGACGAATTGAAAACTTCTAAAACTGTAATGAAAAAATAAGAAATCGAAAAATCGAAACATCAAAAATTGAAAATCGAAAATTCGAAAAGCTCAAAAATCGAGAAATCGAAAAGTCGAAAATTTAATAAATTTAAAAATTGAAAAATTATAAAACTGAAATGACGAAAAATAATCGTGAAATTCGAAACATCGAAAAATTGGAAAATCGAAAATTCGAAAAACCGAAAAATCCAGAAATCGAAAAGTCGAAAATTTAATAAATCGAAAAATTGAAGAATTAAAAGCCTGAAAAACTGAAAAATTGAAACACTGAAAAGTCAAGAAATCGACAAATGGGAAGATCAAAAACTGGATTCGTCGAGAAATTGAGAAATCGAAAAATTGAAAAATCGAACATCAAAAAATCGAAAAATTCAAAAAATGAAAAATCTAAAATTGAAGATTGAAAAATCGAAAAACCGAGAAATCGAAAATTTAAAAATTCGAAAAATTGAAAAATCGGAAAATTGAAGAATTGAAAACAATTGTTAACAATCGAAAAATTGAAAAGTCGAAAATTTAATAAATCAAAAAATCAAAATCCAGTAAAAATTGAAACATTGAAAAATCGAGAAACGACAAATGGGTAAATAAAAAAAATTGAAAAACTGAAAAATTTTAAAAATCTAAAAATCAAAGATTGAATAATCGAAAAACCGAGAAATCTAAAATTTAAAAATTCGAAAAATTGTAGCATCGAAAAACAGAAATAATCAAAAACCAAAAATTTTAAAAATTGACAAATTAAAATATCGAAAAATTGAAAAATCTAAAATTTTAAAATAAAAAAATTGGAGAATAGAGAAAAAATAATAAAAAGTAAAAAATCGAAGAATCGAAATAGTGAAAAATTCCAAAACTGAAATATCGAAAAATTGAAAAATCGAAGAAAAATTAAAGAATCGAAAAAATAGGAGAAAAACTGAAGAATGGAAAAATTGAAATATATAAAAAATTTAAAAATCTAAAAGCAAAGAACGAAAATCGAAAAACTGAAAAATAAAACCCCTGGAAAATTGAAAAATTGGAAAATAGAAAAAAAAACAAGACATCGAAAAATCGAAGAATGGAATAGTGAAAAATTCCAAAACTGGAATATTGAAAAGTTAAAAAAATGGAAGAAAAATTAAAGAATCGAAAAATTGGGAGAAAAACTGAAGAATGGAAAAACTGAAATATTAAAAAAATCGATAAATCTAAAAGCGAAGTACAAAAATCGAAAAACTGAAAAATCAAAAACCTGGAAAATTGAAAAATTGGAAAATAGAAAAAAAATAGAAAAAGTAAAAATTTAAGATCGAAAAATCGAAGAATGGAAAACTGAAAAATCTCAAAACTGAAATATCTGAAACATTGAGATATCAAAAAATTGAAAAATCTAAAAGCGAAGTCCAAAAATCCAAAAACTGAAAAATCAAAAACCTGAAAAATTGAAGAATTGAAGAAGTGAAAAATCGAAACCGTCGAAGTCGAGAAGTCGAGAAATGGGAAAATCAAAAAATCCACTAATTAAAAAATCGAAAATTTGGAAATTTAGGAACGTCAAAAACTGAAAAAGTGAAAAATCAATATATTTAAAAATCACAAAACTAAAAAATCGACAAACTGAAACATCAGAAAATTGAGAAATCGAAAAATAAAAAAATCGTCAAATCGAAAATTTGAAAAATTGAAAAATTCCATCACTGAATATCGAAAGTTGAAAATCGAGAAATCGAAAGGTGAAAAATCAGGAAATCTTAAATCCGAAAAACTAAAAATTCGAAAAACTGAAAAATCGAAAAATTCGAAAAATTGAAATATCAAGAAACCGAAAAATTAAAAGATCGAGCAATTGAGAAGTCGAAAATTTAGAAGTCGAAAAATCGAAAAATTGCGAAACCGAAAGAGGCCAAAATGGAACAGTTAAACATTGAAAAATTGGAAAGTCAATAAATCGAAAAGTCGATAAATAAAAATTCGAAAAAACCGAGAAATCGAAATATTAAAAGATCGAGAAACCCTGAAATTGAAAAGCCGAGAAGTCGAAAAATCGAAAAATTGAGAAACAAAACCGATCAAAATGGAAAAGTTAAAAATTGAAAAATTGATACATCGAAAAATAAAAAAATTGAAAAATCGAAAATTTGAAAAATCTAAAACGTAAAATAGTTGAAAAATCCAAACTGAAAAATAAATAAAGTAAAAAATGGAAAAATCCAGAAGTCGAATAATCGAAAAGTCGAGGAATCGAAATATTGAAAAATGGAAATACTAAAATATCCAAAAAATGAGACATAAATTAACAAAATCGGAAAATCAAAAAGCGAAGTCGAAAAATCGCAGAACTGAAATATGGAAACAGTCGAATGTCAAGAAATGGGAAAATCAAAAAATCGATTAATGGAAAAATCGAAAAATTGAAAATTTGGAAACGTCGAAAACTGAAAAATCGAAACAACCGTAAAACTGAAACATCGGAAAATTGAGAAATCGAAAATTTGAAGAATCGAGAAATTGAAAAATTGAAAAATCGAAAAATTCCAACAGTGAATATCGAAAATTGAAACCGAGAAATCCAAAGTTCAAAAATCGAGAAATCAAAAAGCCGAAAAATCGAAAATTCGATAAACTGAGAAACCAAAAGAGGCCAAAATCGAAAATTGCATAGTTAAACATTGAAAAATTGGAAAATCGAAAAGCCGAAAAATAAAAAATCGAAAAACAGAGAAATCGAACAATCGAAATATTGAAAGATTAAAAAAATAAAACATCGAGAAATCGAACAATCAACAGATCGAGAAATCGAGGAGCCGAAAAGTCCAGAAATCGAAAAATCGAACAATTTGGAAACCAAAATAGGCCAACAACGAAAAATAGAAAAAGTGAAAAATTTAAAAACACAAAATTTAAAACCGGAAAGTCGAAAAATCGTAAAACTGAAAAATCGAAACATCAAAAAGTTAAAAATCTAAGTTCGAAAATAGAAAAAGTAAAAAAATCGAGGAATCAAAAAATCCAGAAGTCAAAAAATCGAAAAATTAAAAAATTCCAAAACAGAAACATCGAAATATTGAAAAATGGAAGAAAAAAAAATTCGAATACGGATTATCTAAAATTAGGTAATCAAAAATTGAAAATCGAGAAATCGAAAAGCCGAAAAATCTAAAATTCGATAACCTGAAAAATGGAAAATTCTTGTCTCTGGATAAAAATTCAACGCGGCTTCATAAACCACAAGTTGAGAACTATGTTACTTTTGAACATTTAAAATTGTAGTTGCTTATTGCAAAAAATTTAAATTAAAAAATAATTACAAACTCAAGCAAAATATATCATGTTTCCAAGAGAAAAAAAAAAAAAAAACAACTACAGTTTCTAAAAAAAATAAGGGAAAAAAGTGATTGATGGCTATTCCAAGAGTATTGTTAATTTTGAGGAGTTTTGGAGTAGTACTAAACATAATTAAAGGATTAATTTGTTAATTAAACAAAAAAAAGTAGTTGAATGCCAATAATTAACACTTGTACCTACCAAAATGTTCACTTATTCGTTGTAAAGTCCGACCAAGTAATTCTTTCCTCAGAATTTATGGTCGGAACCGGCTATTCCTTGCAGTGGACGTCTATCAGATCATGGAACATCAAAAATCGCTTCTGAACGCTTAGAGTCTACATTGGCCTGAGTGCGCTCTGGTCTGTCGATCAAACCAGTTCTCAAACGCCGACGAAACAAATCCCGCTGAAAGTAACCAAAGAAACTCTTCCTTATTTAAAATATATATTTCAGAGTACAAATCCTCCATACTTTCGGATAACTCCTCAAAAATTGTTTCGTGTATACAAGAGGTCTTAAAATAGCAAATTTCCGCAACAAGTGATAAATTTGTACATTTGTATGAAAATACAGTTCTGAGTCTTGAAAGACAAACAGGTTCGAAAAACTTGCTCCTATATAGACTATGTTTAGATTAATCAAACTTAACTATGCCATCCCTAACAATAAATATGTATCTTTAAAAACTTATACAAAATGGTGTAAACGCTAAATAGTCAACTATACAAAGTATATAACACTCAGGTCTCGGCCTGCCTGTCCGACCTCGTAAAACAAACCCCTCGAAGCCCTCAGGCCCCGCTATGACGCCCCCTTCTTCCCCAAGAACTCGATCGCCCTCCCGATCTCCTCCTTGAGCAAAATGTTATGCTTCCTCGACAGGTGGCGCTCCACGTGCGTCTTCTGGTAGCCCCGGTACGGGCAAATCGAGCACGCGAACATGGGCAGCTTGCCGCACTCGTACTTCATGTGCCTCGCCATCGTCGACTTTTTCGCGTACGTCTTCCAGCAGTTCCGGCACGCGTACTCTTTACAGTCCAACCAGAACTTATTATCCAACACGAAAACCCCTAAAACAAAAGTCGGTCACACCAAGATTCCTCGAGCGGGGACGAGTGCGTCAACACCTTCACCCAGTTAATAACTACAAGAGTGGGTTGGGAGGTTTTTATTCGTGTTATTTTACAAGTTAGGTTTAGTTCCAGACACGATGTGGTAGTGTCTGAGCGACGTCATGTGGGACGTCAGGGAGTCCTTGCGGTGTGTCTGAAATTTGCAAGGTTCGCAAGTGAACGTCGGCTTCTTTTCGCAAATGAAGTTAACGTGACGCTTCAGGTGCGTCTTGTGTTTGTACGTTTTGCCGCACTTCGCGCACGAGTAGCGCGGAAAGTCGAGGCCTGAAAAAGAGAGAGGTAAAATGAGGAGAGTGGCATGCGCTGCGAAGGGATAACGACATCGCCGGGTTGGCTGTGGCACTGGAGAGATGAAGGATGTCGTTACGCCTTCTTTCCTTCAGTCGAACGCACAAAGCATACACAAATCAGTCTAGAGAAACTCGACTAAACAACAAACTATATAGTTTACTCAGTCATTTAAAATCATCCCTACAAACCATAAGAAAATAGTAACGTTATATAAAACTATGTAACTTTATAACTATTATAATCAGTTCGGGTGTTTATTTTTAACATGGCGGATAAGCGCCCTCTCGTGGATAAACTTAATCCCGCAAAACTCGCAGGAAAATCTAAAATTCTGTCCACACTCCTTCTTCAAGTGGCGAAACAAACTCGGGTAGTGTTTGTACGACTTGCCGCAAGCTCGACAAAAGAATCCCCCATTTTCGCACCCTAAAAAAAGCGGAGATTAATCCCCATACGTTTGACACAACTACGGGTCAAAGAAAAATTATTTCGCCACAAGCTTTTATTAATTTTTACTGAATTAACAAGGGTTAGTGTCTACTCAACGAATGCCTGATCAAGTGAAACTTCCTCTTAAACCTTCTGTTGCATTGAATACACGCAAACTGGGGTTCGATTCCACACTCGTACGTAAGATGGCGCCTAAGAGTCTCTGGGTTCTTGTACGACTTGGAGCAGCGTTCGCAGTGAAAAATTCGCTCCGCGTCTGAAACAGATCACTTTACCTGGTGTCAAAATTCGAATGAATACGTCACACACTACGTCACTAACATCTGATTGGTTGGAACATACTCACGTGGTACCGAATGGGCGGAGTCAGTGTAACAAAAGGGATACAACGTGATTACTTTTATTGGACGAAATAAATGCACTTAACAATCTTGTGTGAGTAACGACCCCTAAACATAAAACACAGTTTTATATAAATCTTTATAAATCGACTCGAACTCGAGCGCCCGTTCGGGGTGGCGCCTCCTCACGTGTTTTTTCAGGTCGTACTTTTGCTTCATCGCTTTGTAACAGTAAATACATTTGAATTTGTGTTCGGGGCCACACTCGTACCTGACGTGTCGGCTTAGAGAGGCTTTGTTTTTGTACGACTTGTCGCAATCCGAGCATTTAAACTCTGAAAAGAACCGAATTAGTGTTGGACTTACGCAGGTGCACTATGTACACTTCTGAGTAAAAACAAGAGTCAGATCAACTAAATCTTTATTCAGACAAACAACACAACAAAAAATCAGCTCCAAATGGCGGCGTGTTTTAGCCCGATGTGCGAGGTGAGGGACGACTTTTGGGTGAACTTTTTCCCGCACAACGTACACTCGAACTGGGGTTCTTTGCCGCACTCGTGTTTTATGTGGCGCCAGAGGCTGGCGTAGTGTTTGTACGTCTTGCGACAGAAGCGGCACTCGAATTTGGCTTTGGGGTCACCTAAAACATACACGCCGGTCATGAAAGCGAACTGGACTTGAGGAACACTCAGTAAAACAACACTCTTTAGGAAAAGATTTATTGTCCGAGGGTTAACAATTGATTAGTTGGGTTAGTGGGTTAGGTGCTGGGTGGCGGCGTGCGCCGCCATCGAAAACTTATGGGCGAACTTTTTCCCGCAATAATCGCACTCGAACTTGGGGTCTTTGCCGCACTCGTGAGTCTGGTGGCGGCGAAGACTAGTGTTGTGTTTGTAGCGCCTCGAACAAAATTGGCACCGGAAGCCGGTAGTCCCCACACCTACAAAACGAGCCCGCGTGATTCCAAAAACTGGCGCCCGACATTTCGGTACTCGGTAAACGTGTCGAGAATACGCACCGCTGCTTCACACTTTATTCAAAGCGCGAGTAATTTGTGACGCTTCATGTGCCTCATCAAGTGGCTCTTGCGCTTGGCTTTGTAGGTGCACTCGCCGCACGGGAACGCCGGCGCCTTCCCGCACTCGTACTTCTGGTGGTTGTTCAAAGACTGCTTGTGCTTGTAGGACTTGACGCACAAATTACAAGTGTACGGACCTAAAAACATATCGTTAGAACCGTAGTTGACGCAGTCGGGTATCTAAGTCTACTCTGGTCTACTAAACACACAGCCAGTCAACAAAACGGTTTATTGATTACAATACTACAAGTCTACAGTGGAACGTCTACTTTGGCCAGCTTCTTGTGCGAGTTCATGATTCTCGTCTTGGCGAACTTTAGCCAAAGCTTGACCGAATTGGCCACGGCCATGTCGTTTTTCTCGCCTTTGGCGAAGTTCACTTTAGCCGCCTCTGCAAAGAAAATATCACCTTAAAGCCGCTTGGTCTCTAAGCAGTACCGTAAATGACGTTCATGACGTACGTCCGCTCGAAGGAGAGTTTATCGCGGCCTTTCCAGTTGTACAAAATCGCGACTTCGTTGCTGATCAAGAATTTCATGATGCGTCTGGTGAGGGACTCTACCCCCGAACCACCTACAGCTGCCAGGCGCGCCACCATGTACTCCCCCAGCAATGGGTTCTTCTCCAACCGCGCGTTGAAACTCTGGAACTCCTCTAGCGTCTGAATCGGGAATTTTGGCACGTCCTCGGGACACACCATCGCGTCGTGGTGCACTCTCCGACTCGTCCGTAACAACTCATTCAACATCACGCTATGTTGCGCCAAATACTCCAGCACCGTCTTCTTAAACCCTGAAACAAACACCTTCGAGCAACCACAGACACTTCTGAATCGAAGGAGAACACAAACAACTCGACTACAATGAGCAGTGTTTATTGAAAGGGTTGGTGCGTTAGAAAGAAACAACTTGTACAAAAGTATCGGTTACATGAGGGACAGTGCAGATGGGTGAGTTTGGCTTTCCTCTGGGCTTCCAGTCGTCCGCTGTGTTCTTTGATTTTGGCGTAGCAGCCGTGACACCGCCGACGCTGCTTCAACACGGACACTTGGTGGTAGTACAAAGGAGCGGCGAACACACCTGCAATTGTCTTAGTTTAATTAGGGCTTGCAGACTGTGTTGTTTTGCAATAATGGGACAAGTGGCGGTCACGAGAGAATTTGTATCTGAACAAGCGCGCACACCGCGGACACCGAAACTTAGGAGCCACGGTGACGCATTCGTTGTGGACGTGGCGGTGCAGAGTGCGTTTGTTCTTGTATGCTTTGTGGCAGGCGTGGCATTCGAAGCTTCGGACAAACGCATTCCCTAGAAAAAATTAGTCGGTTAGGCGGCGAAGCCGTCGGGCGGTACTTACCACAGGCGACACAAACGGGTATTATCAGTACGGAATCAAGGGTTAAAGTCGCTTTGAGAAAATACGAATAGTGCGTTTATTACAAGAGTTACAGTTAAAGCTACCACAGTTTGACGGTTTGGCGGTAGTTGTGCGCCCTCACTAGGTGTCTTTTGAGGGCGTACTTCCTGGCGAATTTCGCGCCGCACAGGAAGCACTCGCTGCTCGTGTTGTCGCCGCAGATGTTGTGAAAGTGCACCCTCCAGCTGTTGTGGTTCTTGAACACTTTGCTGCACTTGTGACACACCACTTGCTCATTTCCTGAAACAACAACCGTCAGTACACGTCGACGAAAGAAACACAACGCATCGGCGATGAAAAATTTTATTTCAAGTAATAATTGTGGCTATAACGAGGTATGCAGTACGAAGCGGCGTCCGCTTCGCTTTTAGGCCAGTTGTGAATCCTGATCAAGTGCCGTCGCAGACTGTACTTCCGTTCGAAATCCGCGCCACAAACCTTGCACACACTCCTCTGGTCGGCGTTGCCGCACTTATTGTAAAAGTGCACCCGCCAGCTGTTGTGGTTTTTGAAAATTTTGTTGCAAACGTGACATGTTACCTTTTCTGAAACGAAAAGTCGGAATTATTGGCGAAGACGCAACAACGTGAAAGAAAAAACAACAAACTGCGATAAAAATATATTTGGCAAGCAAAGGACAAGCGAAACGATCATGAAACGGTTTCCTGCGGGTTGAGCGCCGGGTTGCTTTTGAGCACCATGCCGTGCTTGGCGACGTAGTGGGTCCTCAGGTTGTACTTCCTTTTCGACACGTACGTGCACAACGGACACGAGAACGTTTTCATTTTGCCGCAGTCGAGCGACACGTGGGCCCGCAGAGTGCTCTGGTTTTTGAACGAGCGGCCGCAGGTGGGGCACGCCACTTTGGCTCGTTTCGCATCTGGAAACAACAGAGTGAGTACCGAGTCACACTCCCCCCCGTGCTAAAAAAAACACTCGTATCGACTATCCACTTTATTACGACCACGTTACAAATTCTAACTGTAGATGCCTAAAAGCGCCCTGATTTTATTCTCCATGAGGCCGTGCTTGACAATGTAGTGCTTCTTGAGGGTAAACTTGCGCTTGAAGACCGCATTGTCGCAGAGCGTACATGAAAACGACACTTGTTTCGCGCAGTCTAAGTAGTAATGGACCCTCCAGCTGTTGTGGTTCTTGAAAAACTTGCCGCATTTGGCGCATTCGACTTTCGGGGGCTCTGGAAAAAGAGACGACGCAAGTTAGAATGGTTTATTCGGAAGTTGCGGGACAAAGACTACAACAAGTACAGGATTATGGCTGTAAGTGATTGATTTTGTGGCGCTGCATGGAGTGCCGGTGGCGGAAGAGTCGCAAACAAATGTCGCACTGAAATTTTGGGTAAACGTTGACGCACTCGAGCCGGATGTGACGACGCAGGGTGGTCAGGTTCTTGTAGGACCTCAGGCAAGTGGCGCAGGTGTGTCTTCTCCCTAAAAACAGACGGGTGAATAACGGAAGGCACAAGCGTCACGAGGGTCATAAATCAAGTACTAGTCGCATCAAAAATACAGCTTTATTAAGAGTTGCGTTACAAAATTAAAATAGTCATGGAATGATTCAAGGAACAAATAAGATTAAGGCACTTAAGTACGACCCGTCGCTACTCGTGGATCTGCACCAGCAGAGAATCGTAGGCTTCAAGGTCATAGTCGTTGCGTTCGTGCAATCTGGCGATGTGTCTGCGCACGTGCATCTTTTGCTTGGCCTTGTAGGAACAGTGAGGACAGTTGAATTGGGGCTCTTTGCCGCACTCCCACTTGATGTGGTTTCTCAAGGAACTGCGAAGCTTATAGAGACGGCCGCATTCCGGACAAGGGTAGACGTCCGTAGGTTGGACGTTTTCAGTTCCTTTGAACACCTCCAACTTCTTCACCACTTCAGAAAGCGTAGGCAGGACCTTTTTACGTCGCTTTGTTTGGTCTGGAACAACAACACAATTAGAATTTTGTCACAAACGAACATCATCAACTAACAACCGGGTAACAAAAAACAAAACAAAAAAGAAAAGAAACGAAAGAAAAATTTATTGCCAACAGAACAAGTGCAACAACTGAACAAAATAAAGTGACAATAACGTAATTAGGTACGGACTTACCGTCACTAAAACCTACTAGTTGAACACTGAACTAAGTATTTTCGTCTTTGTTATTGTTGTACAAAATACTAGCAGAACATTTGTAGCGATAATGCCTCAGCAAATTTTTTCTTTCGTAGTAACTCCGCCCGCACTGACACTGAAACTCCCCCAGACCTCTGGGCCTCCTTTGTAAACAAAAACCTACAAGGAAACAACAATTAACACTACACCATCCAACTTTTTCGTTTTTTTTTTTTTTAGTTTGAGAGTAAAACTGTCGGTGAAGACACCAAGACATCGTTTATTTGGCAAAACGCTATATCACAAAAACAAGAGTATTCTACTACTTATAGACATTCTGGTGCTGCTTCATGTGCCTCTGCAAGTGGTGCTTGTAAAAATAAGCAGCGTTGCACAAGCCGCACAAGAAGCTGCGATGATTCTCGCAGGAGAACTTTAAATGCGTCATCATCGCTTTCCTGGACTTGTACGGTTTCCCACATCTGGTGCAGGGGTAAACGAGCCCCATCGCGTACTTATAAATATCTGAAACAAACGTCATGTATAAAACGGTCGAGGGAACACGCAACACTACACACACAAACAGGCCTCTACCTAACAAAGTGAAAGAGGTAATAGCGGCAAGATTTTATTGGCTAGGATCAAAATACAACGTTGTGATGAGTACGAGTGTGGCGGCGAAAGTTCCCTTTGATCTTAGTCTTGTACGGGCAAGAGTCGCAGAAGAACGTGGGTTCTTTGCCGCACTCGAACTGCCGGTGGTTTCTCAGAGAGGACTTCCGAGCGTACTGCTTCTGGCAACTGGGGCAGTTGAACGGACCAAGGAAGGCTAAAACGAACACCGTCATTACATGCTCGTTCCACACACGCGACATCGACAAGTGGCGAAATTATCACCATCTACGTGATGAATCTCAATTGGGTCAATAACAACTCCCTTAATGTGAAACGCTTTATTAGGCAAAGTTACTGTAGACTTGGTGGCTCTTCATGTGCGCGTTCAAGTTATACTTCTGGTGGAACTTCTTAAAACAAATGAAACACTGAAACCTGGGCTCTTTCCCGCACTCGTAGTTGATGTGGCTGTTCAAGTGGTACTTGTACTTGTAGGACTTGAAGCAGCGGGGGCAACTCTGCCTCTGCGGTCCTAAAAATAGAGCAGTCAGACACACTTCAGACAAACGCTCCGACAAAAAAAACACGCTGTTGGAAATAACTGTTTAATGGGGTAAACCAAGTACAAGTTTTAACAAGAATGCCTGCTCCGGATGTGCGAGTCTAGGTGCGATTTTCTTCGGCCTTTGTACGAGCAGTACGAGTAGGGACACTTGAAGGAGGGCGGCTTGCCGCACTCGAAAGTTTTATGTTTATAGAGGGACTGCCGGAATTTGTACGACTTTCCACACATTAGGCACTCGAACGATTTGCGCTGGCCTAAGGGTCGGTACATGCAATCTGAAAATGGGGTCGTTTAATAGGTGCTCCAAACGGGCTGCAAGCGTTAAAAGCGAAGAAGAGAAAATTAATAGGACAGCGACATACTCGGAAAGAATCATTGTCTTCACGTAGTGTTTTCGACACAACTGGGAACTCGGGCTACAAGCAATTAAATAAAAAAAACACTCGCCTGCTGCTGTTGAAAGGGCGTCAAAAACTGGTGCCCGACAGTGACGTAACGGGCCTTAGTCTAAAGTTGCTTTTATTTAATAGTTAATACACTCAGAATAAAGTAAAAATTGGATCAGCGCAACAAGTGACGATTCGCGACATGCAGATTTAGGTGGCTTTTCCTCCTCCCGATGTAGGGACAGTTGAGATAGGGACACTTAAAGGACGGTAGTTTCCCACACTCGTACTTGACGTGCCTGTACCTCGACGCGTAGTGGCTGTAAATCTTATTACATTTAGGGCAGGGGTAGTGACCTGAAAAAGAAAACTTTATTAGAAACGGGTACACCTTCACTGGATCAAAGAACCAAAAACTACCAACAACGTACTACTTTGAACATTTTTATTCCAAAAGACTACAGATCTATGTAACGAAATTTTGGTATTTGAATCCATGTTTGTGTATCACGTGGACCTTCAAGGTTGACTTTCGCCGGGCGGAGTAAGAGCATGGTGGTATGGGGCATTTGAAAGAGGGTTGCTTTCCACATTCGTATTTGACGTGGCGACTCCTCGTGCCAGCGTGACTATAAAGTCGGTTGCAGTTGGGGCAGGGGTAATTACCTACAACTGACACAGGCGGTTAATATTATCACCGGGTACCAAACAACAAAGGAAAAAATAAATACAACGACAGAGTACTTTTATTTCTACAACGACAGTTTGTGAATTATGTGCATGTGTTGCTTTAGGGTGTACTTTCGCTTCGCCACGTAACTGCACCCAGGTGCTTCGCATCTGAAGGACGGCTTTTTGCCACACTCGAACTTAACGTGGCGGTTTCTGGAAGCTACAGTGCTGTAGTGTCTCGGGCACAAGGGGCAGGGGTAAATGCCTGAAAGACCATTTAGTGAAGTGAATGCAACCACGTGAAAGACATAGCTTAAGATTACTGAATAGTCGCACCCCCACAAAAACAAACACTGCGAAGAAATCCTTTATTGTACGAAAAAATACACGTGGTCCTCAAAAGAACTGGGAACTGGAAGCCACGAAGGGGTGTTTAATGTGCGTGTGAGTCTTCAACGAGCACTTCCTTTTGGTAATGTAAGGACAAAAAGTGCACTTGAACGTCGGAAGTTTCCCGCACTCGAACTTCAAGTGCCTGTTTCTGGTACTGATCGTGGCGTAATTTCGGTTGCACTGAGGGCACGGAAAAGAACCTGAAAACGTAATTGTTTATTACGTGAGCAACTATTTAATTGTTCAAAAAATGTTGAAATTTGTGCTTTAAAAGTACATGGGTTAACAGAGAGTTTTTTCTTTTGGAAGAGTAGTCACACTGGGTACAGGTGAAGACGATTTCGGTACCACCTCCTCTTGCGACGAGCGGCCCTAAAGATAACAAAGTTAGAAGCTATTACCTGAAGGAGAAGAAAAAATGAAACAAGTAATGTACACAGATCCTTTATTGATTGACAGGATGGTGAGTATTTTGCATGTGTGCTCTGAGAGTGCAACGCCGCTTAGCTCTGTAGGTACAGAAAGGGATCTCGCACGGAAACTGTGGGTTCTTGCCACATTCGTATTTCAAGTGGGTGTTTCTGGATTGTTGGTGCTTGTAGATTTTAGGACAGCGCGGGCAGGCAAAGCGACCACCTAGAAAGGGTACAGTGAAAATTGAGCTTGAAACTCGCGCGATCAACATTTAAAGCAACATTTAACGGACCTTCCAATCACCCTGTCCAAGAAACACAAGAAAAAACGAAACTAACAACCCTGACCGAGAAGATTGGGTACTTTTTCTGTCTTGATGATCTTCGTGCCACACTAAATACGTAACTAAAACGCGCTGCTACTTTCAAATTTTATTACAAAATGGTACTCCAAGTCAATCAAACAAAAGTAATGTGGTGTTTCCTCGTCATGTGCGTCTTAAGGTGTCCTATTCTTTTCGCGATGTACGGACAGGAACTACACGAGAACGTCGGTTCTTTTCCACATTCGTACTTAAGGTGGCGATTGCGTGACGTATGGTGGCTGTAGACTCGCTCGCATTTGGGGCAAGGGTATTTGCCTAAAAGTACCACCGGTTAGACAAGTCCAAAAAAAAAGAAAGGAAACACACGATTGTCTAGTCTCTTTATTGTCTACCTAAACACTAAGTACTAAACACGGTGCTTTCTCAGCACATGTCTGTTCAAAGCAAATTTTCTCTTGCATGCAAACGGACACATCTTACACACGAACTTTTTACTCTTGCCGCAATCTTGAGTAACGTGGTACCTCATAGTTTTGTGATTTTTGTAGCCCTTGCAACAGTTGGGACAATAATATCGTTGCCCGTCTAGAAAAAGAAAAGTCACTGGAGTTTTGCTAACACGTCGTGGTGCATGCAGACACAGTTTTTTTTATAAAACGATAGTTTATTCAGAAAATACAGAAATAGGGGGCTGTGTCTATAAAATCACACCGTGCAGCTTCGCCAAGTGTTTGCGAAGGTGGATCTTCTGGTATGCTCTGTAAACGCAGTGAGCACACTGGAAGAGGGGTTCTTTTCCACAGTCGTACCGAATGTGGCGGTTGAGAGCCGTCTTTGACTTGTAGTTCCTATCACAGCTTACGCATTGGAAAGTACCTAAAAAGATTCCAAGTGAGCGACTGGCATTCACGTATTGAGTGGACAAACAAAAAAAAAAAAACTTGGCACGAAACGTCGGAAGAGTACCATTAAAACCCGTTTGTAAAAACAATAGGAAAATTTATTGTCCTTATATACTAGAATGGTTTAGGGCCATGTGTTGCTTATAGAGGTACGCCCGCTTCATGTTTTTGTTGCAATACAAACAAGTGTACTTCTGCGGACTGTGTTGCTCCCGGTTGTGCCTGCGCAACTCGTACGTGCGTCCGAACTGCTTATGGCAAAGCTTGCACTCGGTGTCACCTAGAAAAAGCCGCATTAGTAAGACCTCGACTCACCTCGCCCCACAAAAAAAAAACACAATTACAATTATTGTGAAAATACTTTATTTCTATTCTAGTTTTGCATTAACATGAGAATGACATTGCAAGATGTGTCTTTTGAGGTGGTAGTTCCGCTTGAACTTCTTCTGGCAGAAGCTGCACGTGCGCTCCACGAAGCAGTCGTGCTGCTCCCGGTAGTGCCTCCTCAGGTCGTACACTCGTCGAAACGTCGTCCGACATTGATCACACGTAAGTTTAAGGTCTAAAAATAGAGGAGATTAGAAGGGTGAAGAGGAAGGTGTTTATTTAGCTACGAGATACATAAACTAAAGGGCGTGGTTCTTTCGGTGGTGTATTTTCAGGTTCCACTTGTTCCTGAACCTGCAAGGGCAAAGGGCGCACACGAATTGGGCATCTTTGCCGCACTGGTATTTGGAGTGTTTGTACAGGGAAGGGCCGTGCTTGTAGCGTTTGCCGCAAGTGGCGCATTCGTAGCGAAAGTCTGAAAAAAAAGCTCGTGTTACGTCAGGCCAAAGCGTGGGTCGCGAGTAAGAGAGACGCCGGCTTTAGTTCCATCTTTTATTAGTCCAAACCCCATAAAATAAAAATACATAAAAATATGACTACTTCACTACGTGAACAAAAATATATTATTTTGAACTAGTCTAACCAAAATTTAACCTAAAAGAAAAACAACGGGATCGAGAGGCAAGAGCCCCCGGTCACAACTAAATAACAAAAACTTAAAAACAAAATAAAAATATTCTTAAAGACAACATTTTGATAAATGCCCTCCAAGGACGGTATAATAATAACATAAACAATTACCAATATAAATATCCCATAGGTACATAATTTTCCGAATTTATTGCATAAAGGCACTTGGTACTATTGCTGCAATCGCTATTGCACTCAATCCAAATTGCACTCTCCAAGTACGAAAATATTGCCATTTGAACTCTGAAGCGTCCCGGTTGGACAAAATTACCTAACAATCCTCAAACGCGGACCCGACTGACTAGGCGCTGAGCGAACGAGAGCCCCCCGGGTCCGGACGACGGAAGACCAGCCCCCACCCGAGTCTTCTAAATTGTACTATAATTGAACACTAGTCCGACTTGACATCAGCCTTTGGAACGATGGAATCGTTGAGCATCATCAGCTGCGGATGGTGCTTGCGGATATGGACCCCGAGGTTGCCCTTCTGCTTGGCCCGGTAGGGACACTGCGGGCACTGGAACATGGGTTCCTTACCGCCGCACTCGACCTGCTCGTGCCTGCGCATGGTCGATTTCCATCGGTACCGCTTGCCGCAATGGCGGCACGCGAAAAGGGACTCCTTGCTATAGCCGGGCCGGACTGACTGGTTCGCCAACACTTTGAATTTGCGCATCGAGTGGCCGTTTTCGCCGTGTTTGCGGTATTTTTTGGCCGGGTTGAGCAGCAGGTTTTGCAAGCTTGGAGGTATCAATATATTATCAAATTCGAGATACTCTGGAAGGAGAAGAGGGTATTAGTACGTCAATAGGAGCAAGTCGACAAAATATGTACAGTGAGAGTGCGTATGTACATGGCCAAATCAAAAAAACGCAGAAACAAAACGGTTTATTAAAAACAAAAGAGTGGAGGCTACAAACCAAAAAAGGCAAAGTTGCGACTCACCTGCTGGAAAAGTGCGCGCTAAGAAACGACACTAAAAGCGACAATTAAATACATTTATTTCGAACGCAATATAAAAATAAAAAAAACACATTCAACAAATAAAATAATCATAATAATAATAATTAAAAAAATAAAAGGTACAAAGTGATACCACATCGACTAAAACTTTCTTCAATTACGCAAAACACCTACAACTGTTTCGTATCAGTACTGTTCAAAACGGGCTGCACACTCACCCGATTTGCGTTCACTTTTTATCGGGCGTCTTCTTGCTATGCGTGCCCAAGTGCATTCTGAGGTTGTACCTCGTCCTGAATTTCGCCACGCACTCGGGGCACTGAAACCTCGGCTCTTTGCCACAGTCGAAGCGCTTGTGCTGCCACAGATTCCTCTGGTGCTTGTAGCTCCGGCCGCAGTCGCAAGCAAACGGCCGCCCTAAAAACCACAAGTCAATGACTAAACCCGGACGCCACTTCAAAAATCAAATCAAGTTTCGATTTCAGCCTTTATTCATCTACGAATTACAGAGTTTGCGCTTCGGGCAGGACTTTCTCTTGGTGGAAAACGATATTGTGCCTTTGCCACGCGTACTTCGACGTGAACTTTTTCTGGCAAATTTGGCACTGGAATCTCTTTTCTTTGCCGCACTTCTTCATGTGGAAGGTCATGTTGGACTTGTACTTGTACCGTCGTCCGCATATGGGACACGGGAACGGCGTCTCGCACCCACCTAAAAAAAAGATCGTCATTATGGGGCTTCGAGCGGGGTTGCGGGGGGTGCAGAAACTCACGCACGTGTCACAGACTGATTTATTTATCAAAAAGTTGTACAAAAAAATTTTTATAAAATAAATGCTCTTACGGTTAAAATAAATACAATATGTCAAACCAAAACCTAAAATTGTCTTTCCTTCGCTCTGCTACTATGCTTATGTACATTCCTATGATTATAAAAATATATTGATTGCACCGAAACCGTCTATATTACTGTCACCGTTTGCACTCTACTTATTGTACGACGCGCCCAGCACCTCGTGCTTGTGCTCCTTATGCTTGGCCATCACGTGCATGACGAAATGTATTTTCTGCTTGCCCTTGTACGGGCAGTACGAACACTTAAACTGGGGCTCCTTCCCGCACTCCCACCTCCTGTGGTTGTACAGCGAGCTCTTACGCTTGTAAGACCTTCCGCAATTGCTACAAACAAACGGGCCCGGATCTAACATACTGTAATCTGAAAACAAGCCAGCATTAATACGCGCTCCGACTAGGGACAGATTAGATGAAAGATAAGAGTGAGTAATATTTACAAGAGTTTATTTACAGTCTCTATTTACACTATCTGTGCGTTTGTACAAGGAACATTTCTTTATTTCGGTGGGCGTTGGAAAGGTAATGTCTTTGCAGGACGTGGTAGAATTTACAGTAGAAGTTGCAAACCGAGCAGTGGTACCGGGGCACTTTGCCGCAGTCGTTCCGCAAGTGGGTGTAGACCGACGACTTGAACTTGTAGGTTTTTTTGCAGTTGGGACACACGTATAGCCCGGTCGAGTTCATTTTTATCGACTTGTGCAAAAAACGCAGGTCGGCTGAAAAAGACCGAGATTAGTAAGTGGCCACCAGAAGGCAGGGACGAAACAGCGACAGGGGGCCTTTATCGTCTCGCACGAAATACAAACAGGCAATTTGCACCTTTATTTTACAAGGAACAGGCAGGGGGAAGATCAGGGTACAGCTTTTTCAATTGCCTTTTCATGATCAATGGGACCTATTGCAGGCACTTGGTCCGCCGGCCGGACCGACCCCCGAAAAGTGAAAAGGTCACCCTCGGGTACCCCCTCCCCACGTTTTGCACCTCTATCTCACCGGGAACACCAGGAAAATCGGGTACAGACGAATCCGCAGTATGCCGTTTCTGGTACCTTTAGCTTAATTTGAATAAAACGCCCGCTTTCCAGCAATCTTTATTAGATTACAGTCCCCAGGCCGTGGCGCATCGAATGCGTCTGCAAGTGCGAGTTATGCTTGAACTTTTTCAGACACACTTTGCACTGAAACTTGGGCTCGACGCCGCACTCGTACTTCAGGTGGCGTCGCAGGTGGCCTTTGCGCTTGTAGTGCGAGCCGCAGCGCCCACAAGCGTGCCGCCCACTTTCAGTAATAAAAGTCGGGTAGCTAGAGTCTGAAAAAAGTCACTGTTAACATGTATCCCTCGCAAAACGGCAACACAAAGACAACAGAATCTACTTCAAAGTACTTCTACACGTCTGTGCACATGCCTAAAGCTTTGATACGAACTGTGGGCTCCTCTTGACTCGGCGCGCTTAAAAAAACGGTTAGTACAAGAACAAGGAAACACAAATTCAGTGTTATTTCTTTATTCGCACTCAGGGTGTCGCGTACTCTTCGGTACCACGATCTGGTGCTTGGGTAATTTGTGCACGACCATCATGTGTCTGGCGTAGTTGTGTTTGTGCTTCGAGGCGTAGCTGCACTGAGGGCATCTGAACTGCGACGACATCCCGCACTCCCACTTGCGGTGCGTGCTCAACGAGCTTTTGTGCATGTATCTGTTGGAGCAAGTGGGGCACTTGTAGGGCCGGTCTACAACCAAGCGACAAGTTAATACAAGTAAGGACACCCGGCGAAAAGCGACATAAAGTGAGCACCCAAAAAAAAGACGCGTTTGGAAAGAAGACTTTATTTAAGGTCGCGTCTGGGGATCTTGTGTACAAGTACAATGTGGCGAATGAGGTTTTGCTTGTAGCTTGAGGAGTAGCCGCACAGGGAGCAGTGGAAGGTGCGCGGTCCGTTGGATTCGCGCGTCTCGAAGAAGAACCGACCTGAAAGAAAACAGTGTTAGGAGGAGAAGACACCAACAAGTGTTCAAATACTAATGTCTGGACTGATGCACGAGCAACAGGTGGCGTTCAAAGTTACTCTTTCGTTTACTTGCGTACGAGCACTTGGTGCAGTGGAATTGGGGCGGTATCCCACACTCGTGTTTCACGTGTCTGTGCAGACTGGCGGCATGCCGGTAGGAGTTGGCGCAGTTTGTACACTTGTACGGGGCTGAAAGAGAATTCGGTCAAAAGTTGAAACTGGCGCGGGCGAATGAAATAAAACGCCGCTACTGGGACACGAAAGTCGCTGTTTAAGTAACAAACAACACAAACTATAACAAACAAAAATCGAGATTGTTCAGTGTTCTTTCTTCAAGTGGGTCCTCACGTCCGCTATGGACAGTTTATGCACGGTGACCAGATGGGTGATAAAGTGGTATTTATACTTCGGCGCGTACGAGCAAAACGTGCACTGGAACTGCGGGCTCATGCCGCACTCCCACTTCATGTGCTTCCTGAGAGACGTCCGGTGTTTGTACGAGTGCCAACACTTCGGACACTTGTGGGGGCGGTCTACAACGAGAAAAAACCAGTGAGAGGGTGCTACCAAAGTCGAAACAACAATAACAAGTACCTAGTCGCTTTCGTCACGCTTCCATTTGATACCTAATGAAACAGGTTTTTGTTGGTTAAAATGATTTATTCAGGTCTGGTTTAACAAAGTGCTTATTTTTGGCCACTCTATCTTGTGCACGGTCAACAGGTGGGTTTTGCAGTGGGCCTTTTGTTTAAAGGCGCGTCTGCACAACGTGCACTGAAAATGCCGAGTGATTCCACACTCCCACTTTAAGTGTTTAGTGAGGGACGTTTTGTATTTGTACGAGTTTTGACACCTGGGGCATCGGTAGCGTCCATCGGGGGCTAAAACAGTGGATTGTGAATGAATTGGGTCTGGCTGGTACGTGTAAAGGGCGCACACAACCACACAACAACGGGGAGACAAACTGATCTAGAAAGAAAGCCCCAATTGAGTAAAAAACCACGTAACTGTAGCAAACTTTATTGAAAACGGTCTACACGTGTATTAAACTGAATCTGGTGCTTTGGTATCTTGTGAACACACACTACATGCCTGATGTAGTTAAATTTAACCTTGAAGGCCGCTTCGCAGAACGAACACTGAAATTGGGGGTTCATGCCGCACTCCCATGTTACATGGTGCTTTAAAGAGCCCTTGTGCCTGTAGGATTTTGCGCATTTCCCGCACTTGTAACGCCGTCCTGGAAGAAAAACGTGTTAGAATATAACCAGGGTACACGAAAACAAACAGCTTTATTAACTTAAAGAAATTATAATTGGGTCGGGGTTTCAAGGTTAAAAGTGATTTCGCGCTTGTCGAGCTTATGAATCGTGAGCATGTGTCTAACGTAGTTGTACTTCCTTCGAGAATTGTACTCGCACAAAGCACACTTGTAAAAGCTTTTTCCTCGTTCTTGTCGGACGCGCTCGAGCAAGTTGAGACCTTGGTTGAGGATCTCGTCACCTGTAGACACAAATAGTGGATCTAAAACAAAACACAATGATAGAAGAGTGTCCCGTTTGCCACAAGCACCAGAACAAGGTGACACAAAAACACACAGCGGTCCAAAAACTTTATTTCTCTACAAAAAGAGCAAAGAGCACGTCTTTTCGGTTGCACTTGTGAATATTGACCATGTGTCTTAAATAGTTGTGTTTGTGTTTGGAGGCGTAGTTGCACACCGAACACCGAAACTGTTTATCGACTCCACACTCCCACTTGATGTGTTTGCTCAGAGACCCTTTGTGCCTGTACGCGTTGGGGCACTTGGTGCACTTGTAGGGATAAGCTAAAAAGAAAACCATAATTAGGCACTCCTAGGCCGTCTGGTCCCCCCGAAAAGAAACCACCGCGCATCAGACACTCTTTATTCATCAAGACTTCACATGGACATAACTAAAACAATTAATGCACACGTGCGGTTTGGTGGGGCAGGTCGCACAGAACGTCGACACGCGTTTCGACAAGTCCCGAGCCGCCCTGCTTCCTTTTCCTTCGTTTTTCAGGCCGGCGTAGCAGTGGACGCACCGCTTGCGGACCTTCCGCCCGGTCCGATCCACCGCTTGGGTTATTTGTAAGACGTGGTGGTTGTACTTGTGGTCGGGGCTGATCCACAGCGGGTCCAGCGCTATAAGCAAGAAACGAGTTACAAAGAGGATGCCGTCACCACGCCCAGTGTGCGCCACGCCCCTCGCTCCGCCCACTGGTTCACAAAACATGACATCACCACACAGTTTTTATTCGAAAAGGTGTACAAAACTAGCTAAATCTAATTTCTTCGCGGGCCATCTTGTGGATTGTTGCCATGTGTCTTATGAAATTGTTTTTCTGTTTAGTGTTGTAAATGCAGTAGAAACACTGGAACTGCGACTGGAGGCCGCACTCCCACTTCAAGTGTTTGCTTAACGAGCTGCGGTGCTTGTACGAGTTTGAACACTTCGGGCACTTGTACGGAAGATCTAGAACAAAAACTTTATTACTGTTAGTTGTGAGTACGATTTAGGGGGATTGGCACCACAACCGGAGCAAAAATAAAACAAAGTAAAGCAAATCTGTGTAATTAGACAAAGTTACAAATTGGTTGTACGTGTGACACACGTTATTTTCTGATTGGCTTTGTAATCGGGACACCACAACAACTCACTCCCCCGTGATCTACAAAAAAAGCACCGCCTACGTATTTCTTTTTAACGAAAAATTAGTCAGTCGGTTTTCTTGAGGTGCTCTCGATGCTTGGCCTGCATATGACACAGGAAAGTTATCTTCTGCTTTGCCTGGTAGGGACAAAGGTTACATTTGAAACGAGGCTCCACGCCGCACTCGTAATTCAGATGTTTGTTCAAAGAACTCTTGTGTTTGTAATGGCGACCACACTTCGAACAAGTAATTGGGCTGCAACCTACAAAAAAAACACAAGTCATAAAAGCATACCAAACGTTGCGCGATTGAGGGATCTACAATAAAATAAAACAACGGACATCAAAAAGATTATAATTTGCACAAACTTTACACAAAGCCTCTTTGAATGACCTCGCCATGTTTGGTCTGCATGTGAGTAATAAAACTGATTTTTTGTTTGGCTTTATAAGGACATTTGTTGCATTTAAACTGCGACTCTACGCCACACTCCCACTTTAAATGTTTATATAAAGAACTTTTGTGTTTATAGCGGCGCCCACACTTTGAGCAAGGGACGAGGCCCCAACCTGCAACGGAGACAAGAATTAGGGCAAAGTCGGCGAAGAACGGACACAGAGACTAAAGTACGTTAAATACCTGGTGGAGTCCCAAAATCCATTCATGTCGCCTGAAAGAACTCAAAGACAAATACAAACAGAGATCAAGTTTTTGAATAAGAACAACCACAGTACTTTAAACGTTTATTGATCAACGAGCGGCTGGAGGCTGTGCTTGCGCCTCATGTGCCCCTGCAAGTGCCCCTTTTGTTTACAGATATAGGAGCACAGGTCGCACCTAAACTGGGACTCCTGTCCGCACTCCCACTTTAAATGCTTATACAAGGAACTTTTGTGTTTGTAGACCCTCCAACACCTCGGGCACTGAATCCTCTCTAAAAACGACAAAGCGTCAGTATCGCTTCGGCGCACCGTCGCAACACAAAAAATCATTCTTTAACTAAATAACAACTTTATTTCGCTTAAAATACAAACTTAATCGAGATTCAAAAAAAGACATCGTGTCTCTTGTGGATGTGCATTTTGAGATTGTACTTGCGCTTGCACTTAAAATCGCACATGGTGCAAACGTAGAGTTTGTCTTTTCCGCAGTCAAAGGCCTGGTGGACATTCAGCGTGTTTTGGTTTTTGTAACACTTTTTACACCGGCTGCATTGCCACACATCTAAAAACAAGAGAATCAGAGTCAGGCGAGTCCCGCGCAAACTTATCAAACTAGAAAGAAATGAAAATGAAAGAACAGAATCGGAAACTGAAGTTTATTGGAAAGGAAATCTTCTAGATTTTCTTTGTGTAATAGGATTTCTTGAAGGCTTCTGCGAACTCTTTGTGGCGCAAACAAACGTGCCTGAGTAGGTTGTATTTTTGTTTGACTTGCTTGTCGCAGTGGGGACAAGAGAACGAGTTCGGCTGGCCGCACTCGAACTTTAGGTGACGCAGTTTGGAGGATTTGCGTGAGTAGACTTTGGCGCAGTTTTCGCAAGGGTACCCTACAAACGAATGACAAGGGTGAGATCGGTCACACAACGACGGGGATTAGTCGGAGCAAAACGCAACGCCAAAAGTAAAAATCGTTTATTGCGTACAAAAAAAAAAAAAAAAAGTTAGAGTTTATGGATGGCCTTTATGTGCTTCTTTAAGTTTCCTTTGATTTTACACCGATAGGGACAGAAGTCGCAGCAGAACGACGGCTCCTTTTGACACTCGTACTTTATGTGTTTCTGCAAGGAGACTTTGTGTTTGTATGAGCGGAAACACGTCGGGCACCAAAATATCCCTACAAAAACAGACATTAATACAAGAAAGGCTTGTCCGATCGTCACGTATCGTACCGAAAGTACCAGGCGTTTAAGAAAAAACGCAATAGTCAAAAATAAATTTATTAGGCAGACGAATAATAACATTTTTTAAAATCATCCAAGAAGAATTTGTGGCGCCGACAGACGTGCAACAGCAAGTTGTACTTTTGCTTCACTTGCTTTTCGCAGTAGGGACACGCGAAAAAGTTCGTTTTCCCACACTCGTACTTTACGTGGCGGATTTTCGACGACTTACGCAAGTACACTTTATCGCAATTCTCGCACGGAAAGCTTTGCTGAAAATCTGAAAAACAAACGGCACGGATAAGATCAATAAGCGACTGAGGTGCAACTGGGTTAGTCTGTTAGTAGAAGCTAAGTCTGGTACAAGGAGAAGGTTTGTTGTCCCTACGTTTGTAAAGGAAGTTACGGGATCCAAATTTTTCTACCACGCCCATCACTTATCGGATTCTTTATTCTTTAACGTACAACAACACATTTAATTTGATTGTAGGTCTTCAATTCAATTCAATTCAATTTAATTCAAGGGTCCTCTCAAGTGCATCCTGTTGTAATGTATCTTCAAGGTCCCTTTCCTCTTGGCTTTATAGGGACAGTGCGGACAACTGAACGTGGGTTCCTTCTGGCATTCGTACTTGATGTGCTTGTACAAAGACTCCCTGTGTTTGTACGACCTACAGCACGTCTTGCATTTGAAAGCGCCTACAAAAACCAACCTGTATGAAAAGTCCGACAAGATTACTACTCTAGCTACGAAAAAAACACCCTTTAAGTAAGAAATTTTATTAATTAATTGATAAAGACTTCACAAATTCGGGCTTTGCGTCGCCGAATCCTGAAATGGACCCCCTCGACGTGGATCTTCAAGTTGCCTTTTCGCTTGGCTTTGTACGAACAATACGGGCACTTAAAAGTGGGTTCCTTTTGACATTCGAATTTGACGTGCTTCTGGAGAGACTCCCTGTGTCTGTAATTTCTGCCACAAGTCAAGCAAGGAAATCTTCCTACAAGAAAAACAAACTTAGAAGGTTAGAAGTAGTACCGCCACGTGGTGAAGAAATGCACGGGTGTTACAAGAAACGATTTATTCAATGTAGTGTATACATTAGATAACGGAATGCATTCGTTTGAGGTGTTTGGTCAAGTTCCCTTTCCTTTTAGCTTTGTAGCTGCAGAAACAGCACGAAAAAGACGGCTCTTTTTGACACTCGAACTTCTTGTGCTTAGTGAGGGACTCTCTATGTCTGTACCCTCTGCCACAAGTGTCACAATAAAACCTCCCTAGAAGAAAAAACAACTTAGATGGGCTATTTTAATCCCGTTTTTAGTAAAGTCGGAATAAATCGTCAACAACGTCACAGAATAAAGTTTATTTGTTGTATTATTACACCAGGTACTTATGTCTGCGCTTGATGTGGTCCCTCAGATGCTCCCTCCGTTTCGCCCTGTACTCACAGCACTGGCACGCAAACGTGGGCTCTTTTTGGCACTCGTACCTCAGGTGCTTCCCCAGCGACTCCTTATACTTGTACGTTCGGGCGCACTTCCCGCACAGAAACCTCCCTAAAACATCCACCAAGTTAACACCACCCAAGTCGCGCGCGCACGAAATAAAACACAACAATGCAACGCACAAATTTATTCAATCGAGATACACAACTCGTTTTCGGCCGATTTTCAGGTGAACCCCGTTCACGTGAATTTTCAAATTCCCTTTGGTCTTTGATTTGTACGGGCAGAAGTCGCACTGAAACGTCGGTTCTTTCTGGCACTCAAACTTTTGGTGCTTTCTCAGATTGGTGGCGTATTTGTACGAGCGGCCGCAGGTGGGGCAAGTGAACCCCGCTGAAAGGAAAAAGAGTTCAAGACTAAAATTAGCACTTGTGCTTCAAGTGGACTTTAAGAGTGTGCGCTTTCAAGTTTCCTTTGGTTTTGGATTTGTAAGGGCAATAGCTGCACGCGAACGTGGGCTCCTTGCGGCATTCGTATCTGATATGCTGCCGGAGGGACTTTTTGTACTTGTAGATTCGGCCGCATGTTACGCACTCAAACGAAGCTAGAAAGACGGCAAGAGTTAAAGAACGTAAAAAAAAAACAACTGAAGTGGTGTTAATAAAAAAAAATGAAACGAAAACTAAGCTTTATTTCTACGGTTTGAATGAAAAAAAAAATCACTGTTGTGGTATTAAGTGCAGCTTCTCGGTGTGTAGCTTCAGGTAGGCTTTGCTTCTAGACCTGAAGGCACAGTACAAGCACGCGTACATTGGTTCTTTTTGGCACAAGTGTTTGATATGGTAGTTCAGGTTTTTTTTGTACTTGTAGACTCTCAGGCACGTCATGCATTTAAACGGCGCTAAAAAAACAGGAATTAATTTAGGAACGAAAACAACCAAGTGGGGACAAAAAGCCGACAACACACCCCAGGATTTGACTACACAAATAAAACTAAACAAATCTTTATTATTGGGTCACAGGTCTTTAACAACTCATTTGTTGGTCTTGATTTTCAAGTGGACCTTGCGGACGTGAATTTTCAAGTTCCCTTTGGTTTTCGATTTGTACGCGCACAACGTGCACGCGAACATGGGTTCTTTTTGACACATGTGTTTGACGTGGTAGTTGAGGTTCTTTTTGTACTTGTACCGCCTGCGGCAGGTCGTGCATTCAAAGGGTGCTAAAAATTCAAGAGTTAATTTACCAAGA